CCAACATAACTGAGCAGTATATACTGGAGGAGTGGCTCAAGAGATAGAGCACCTGCTCTTGTAAGCATAAAGCCCTGAGTTGAAGCCTGAATTCCACAAAAAAAAAAAAGTAAATACTTTTTGGCTTCAGGGCCCAGAAAATCTGTTAACTTTTGGGGCAGGTGGTCAGTAAGCCATACCTATAGAAAACAGGAAGAGGAGAAATTGTCCTGCTTTTCTCTGTCATTGTCTAAAAAGCAGTCACACTACCAACATCACTGTTTGTCCTCTTTATACACAGAGAAAGGCTTTAATGTGCTACTCCATGCCTTGTTTGTTTCATCTGTCATTTCTTCACAGGAAAGTTGAACTTGAGTGTTAGAGAACTTTTGAGTTTCTGGGAAGCGGAACATCGTCTGCTTCCTTCACATTCAGCTCTGTATTTGTAGCAGTACTCTGTGCATGTGCGCATGTGCTGTCCAGCTGCTACCATCCTGTCCAGCAGCTGGGCTGTACCTGCAGATGACCTAATTATTGTCCTGAGTAGTAGAAGTCCATGCACAAAATCCTTCCTTAGATTTAATCTTAGAATTCTTCTTAAACTTTAAAGCTGAGCTTGATGGAGAACATTGTAATCCCAGCCACTCAGGTGGCAGCGGCAGGAGGATCTCAAGTTCAAGGCCAGTGTGGGCAAAAGTAAGGCACTCTATCTCAAAATTAAAAGGGCAGAGGGCATAGCTCAAGTCTGGTCTCAGTCCCCAGTACAGGGGGTAGGGTCCAAAAGCAGACTAGTGACAAAGAGAGATGTGTTTCTACTGCCAGCACTTAGGCTTCTCTTTCTCACTGACTCATACGTGAATTACATGGTCTTATAGTAATCTTACCTTTATTGCCAGTGGAAAATTAAAAAAAAACATTTACAAGCACAGATTTTAAGTCTCTTAACACACTTATATGGGCACTGATTGTAGAAGAAGTTGTAATCAAAAGGCAATGCTAGTATTTCTGCTGTTCACTAGTGAAAGCAATAGATATGGTTTTCTTCTCTTTGCTTTGAAGATTAAAATCACCAAATACTGGTGTTAATACTTGGGAAGTTTTGAGAGGTCACTGAATTAAATGGCAGCTCTCATTTTAAAAATAATTAGGTTTTTAGTAAGTTCATTTGTCTAGGCTTAAGTAATGCAGTCAGGTGGTTGTCATGTACATGCTCTTCTGTGAGATGTGAAAAGTGTAACTAAAAGAAAGATTTTGAGACCCCCTTTCCTGGAGGGCTTCTCCCCCCAACTCTGGGGACGACTCTATTCTCCCACTTTATACTTTTCTATCTCAATAAACTCGCCTGCTTTACAAAAATGAATGGAAGGAAGGGAAGGAGGCAGGGAAGGAATTAATTCAAAAAATGGAGAACTGAGGCCAGGCATGGGTGGCTAACACCTGTAATCCTAGCTACTCAGGAGGCAGAGAGTAGGAGGATTGTGGCTTGAAGCCAGCCTGGGCAAATAGTCTGGGAGACCCTATCTCAAAAAATCCTTCACGGAAAAGGGCTGGTGGAGTGGCTCAAGGGGTAGACCCTGAGTTCAAGCCCCAGTACTGCAAAAGAATAAATAAATAAATAAACAATAAATGAGCTGAGTGCAGTGGCCTATGCTTGAAATCCCAGGATTTGGGAAGTAGAGATCAGAGGATTGAGGTTCAAGATGAGGCCAGGCCAGCCTTGGGAAAAAGTTAGTGAAGTCCTATTTCAACAAATTAGCTGAAGGCCGGGCACCAGTGGCTCACGCCTGTAATCCTAGCTACTCAGGAGGCAGAGATCAGGAGGATTGCAGCTCAAAGCCAGTCCAGGAAATAGTTTGTGAGATTCCATCTTGAGAAACTCTTCACAAAAAACATAGGGCTGGTGGAGTGGCTGAAGGTGTACACCCTGAGTCCAAGCCCCAATACTAAAAAAAAGGAAAAAAAAATCTGCGTCTGTGGTCCCAGCTGTATAGGAGGCCATAAGTAGGTGGATCCCAGAATGCAAGACCCTGTGTGAAAAGTAATCTAAAAAGGCAAAAAGAGCTAGAGGTGTGGTTCAAGTGGCAAGAGCAAGCTAAGGCTGGAGTACCACCAAAACCAAAAAAAGCTTCATTTCAGAAGTTACATCCATCTAACACTGGAATTCAGGCTTTTAAGAATAACTTCTCAGCCAGGCACTGGTGGCCGTACCTGTAATCCTAGTTTCTTGGAAACTGAAATCAGGAGGATTGAGGTTCAAGGCCAGCCTGGGCAAGTAATAGAGAGACCCCCATCTCTAAAATAATCAGAGCAAAGTGGACTGAAGGTATGGCTCAAGTGGTAGGGCACATGAAGCTGTGTTCAAATCCCAGTCCCACCGAAAGAAAGAATAGCCTCTCCCCATCCCCTACCCCCAGCATAATCACAACAACTCACTTTTATTTTCACTCTAAGCTTTTTTTTTTTTTTTTAATTTAGTGGGACTGGAGTTTGAACTCAGGACTTTGTGCTTGCAAAGCAGGCACTCTACCACTTGAGCCACACCTCCAGGCCCCACCTTTCTTTTCTTTACTTTTTTTTTTTTTTTTTTTTTTAAAACAGGGTCTCAATTTGTAGCCTAGGCTGGCCTTGTACTGGACTGGTGATCCTCCTGCCTTGGCTTTCCCCTGAGTTCTGGGGTTGCAGGTGTGTGTCATGATGCCCTGACAAGACACAGAATTTTTGAAGCAGTTCAGAAAATTCTTTCTGCTTATTTGGTTATTTTTAGACCTGTACTGTAAAAGCTAGGTTAACTTTTTAGTGTTTATGCTGGGATCAGATGTTACTTGTTGACCCTCATGACAACTTTAGGTGCTACTTCTCCTTACATTAGCTCTGGATGATTAGGTAAGGAGCTTCTTTATAGCCCAGCATGACTCTTTTAACAAGAGGTGCTAGGGTATAGCGACCCCTAGCTTGGCAAAACTGCCTAACACTTTGACCCTGCACAAGATACAAATTTGGTGAAAGCATTCAGGGCAGACACACACCATATCTTTCCATGTTTAACATTCTGTGCTATAATATTCGCAAACTGCAGTCTTAGTCTTTATATGCAAAAGAAAAAAACTGTCAACCCACACGACCTCCCTTCTTATAGAAAAGGCTGGGTCCATGAGTGTGGTCTCCCTCTTAGGTCCAAGTCCTGACTCATAGGCCTTTCCTGTCAGTTCTGTGAACTCTTTTTAAGGCCATTGCTAGTGAGTGTGAGGTCACCTTAAACTCCCAGTTTGGATGTTGGACCGTCTCTGGACTTCCAACACTTACTGAGCTCATCCCTGTGTCCTGCCCAACCTTTAGCAGCAATCAAAGTTTCTTGATGAGTTGGGAGAGACTCCGCTCATCAGTGTGTGTATTAGTAGTCTATAATGTGGGTCATAAAAAATAACATTTGGGGACTTTCTGCACAGAAGGAGGTCTAGGAGCTTCAGCAGTGAAACTTGGAGGTCATGCAGGTAACTTTCCCAACATAGGCTTCTGTCTAAACAAATAAGTACTTTTAATTAAATATTTGACATCTTTTAGCCCTTTGACTTTTACACACAAATTTGTAGGATTGGTACTGGAGTTTGTACTCAGGGCCTCATGCATGCAAGGCAGGTGCTATCCCCTTTGAACCATGCCTCTAGCCCTTTTTTGCTTTAGTTTAATTTTTCAGATAGGGTCTCAAGTTTTTGCCCAGGGCTGACCTTGGACTGTGATCCTTCTACATACTCCTCTTGCCTAGCTGGGATGACAGGTACAGACCATCATGCCTGGCTTGCTTGTTGAGATGAGGTCTTACTGACTTTCTCTGACTGTCCACAATCCTCAATCTCCACCTCCCAAATAGCTGGAATTACAGGTATTAACCACTGTCCCACCTATACGGAATTTTTTTTTTTTTTGTGCATCGTTCCTGGAGGCACTGCAATACCAGGTCGATGCGAGGAGTGGACGGAGCAGCTCCTATTCCATCTCCTAGTCCCAAAAATCCATTTAATGTATTGTCCTAAAGTAGAAGACATATCAGATATTAAACTGATAAGAACAGATGCTACACTTGATCTTAGACAGAAGGCTGAGAAGTGACCTACATAGAATTTTTGATGATAAACTTGCTACCCTGTATAATTTATTTGGGGGATTGAGGTCCTCACATAAACCATGTTTGCATGTGGTAGCTAATTGTATTAAGTAATTTCATATCAGCTTTGTGATGCATTGGTTGTTGTATTTATGACTAAGTTAACACCAAGATCTTCATCAGAAATGCCACCTCCTCCATCTATGACATCTTCTTGGGAAAAGAAGTCTTCGGTTTAGCAGGATGATCTTACTTCAGTCTGATTTTGGGAACACCCTTGAGTGGGTGATCAGGGCTTGTGAGCCTGATTTAGTCTGCACTTAGAAGGACCTAGGTATTGTTTCTGAGCCTTCTGGGATCCCAGGGCCTGTTGGGTGGGAATGGAGGACTGCTGGACACCACCATGTCCTTTCAGGACTGCCATACGAACCTCCTGACACCTTTGTGGTCACAGGTTGACAGTTATGGCTTTCTGGTGCTACTTTGCTCAATTGCCCCTATTCTAGATATCAGTGTTGCATTCCTGGTTACAGGGTACCCAGATCTTTTCACAGAAAGTACTTCCTAATGCAGCTTTCCTTTTCAGCCTGCCATGCTTTCAGCGGCACATTATGATTAGGCATTTTACCGTCTTGACAGTCGTAATTACAGTTTATTAACCCAGTCCTAGGTGAGTCTTCTACATATTCTGACGGATGCTCAAGTAAAGTTCTCTCTCGCTTTCTCTCCCTCTCTCTTTTTTTTTGCCCAGGGAGTAAGGGGGAGGGGGGTGCTCTATCACCTGAGCCAAAGCCTCTACCCAAGTTCTCTGATTTATGAAACCATACATAGTTCACTTTGATTTCCTTGCCTCACCTACTTCATAAGTTACTCAGCAATTGCTTATTGGTTTTTGTGCATGTTTCTGTTTTTGTTACAGACCGTGGGTTCTGAGGGCATTGAGAGCACCGAGGCCTGAAAATGAGTGAGCTTGATCAACTGCGGCAGGAGGCCGAGCAACTGAAGAACCAGATTAGAGTACGTAGCCTGCTTGTTCATTGTGTTTCAGGTCAGAAGCTACCATTGAAGGGAGAATGGGTTGCTGCAGAGGGAGATGTAATTGTCCCAATAAATGCTGATCATAGACCCAGATATGTGGCCTAATACATTGTTTTCTTGCATATTATTATTTGTTACTTGAGTACACATGAAATGTTTCTGTAGGATCCATAAAGGTTTTTTTTTAAACTTTTTATCACCTTGGGATCCTCTTTTGGTCAGTGTATTAGAGGGTGGTGTCTACCCCATTCCCTGAAGAGCCTGCTACTAAATTGAGAGCAAAAAATGTGCATAAAAGTATTAAAAAAAAATAGAACGATCTTGAATGTGTCAGATTTATTTGTTCTTAATTTTGACAAGGGGTGTCCCTCAGGATAACTATTAGAATCTATCTAATTGAGGATAAAATTAAACAAAAAATAACATTCACATTATTCTGATTCAGTCTTTTTGTTTTTGGGGTTTTTGTTTTGTTTTGTTTTGTGTTTTTGGTGGTGCTGGAGATGGAGCCCAGGGCCTCACACATGCCAGGCAAGTACTTCTACCGCAGAGCTAGAGCTCAGCTCTAACACACTGAATCCTAATCTGGGATTCATAGTGTTAAATTGCAGGCTCCAGAAACTTTTTTAAAGAAAGGAAGAAGAGGTCTAAAAGAAAACACTGCTGTCTTTACTTTTTGTTTTATAGAGAAACATTTAATATTCTTCTGTCTTTCTGGTCTCAGATTTTATGAACAGCAAGAGAAAAATTTTGAGGTAGATTTATGAAGAGAAAGTCCAATATTCAGAGAATCACTTTTTAAGAAACTATAAACAGTCACGTATTCAGGCAGCCTAGTGGAAACTGGAGAAAGAAGCACCAGCATCATTTTAGCCAACTTTGTCTTAAAATTGAGAAAAGGATAACAAAATTTTCTGAGATTTACAGACAAAGAAAACAGAAAGTGTTCTCTGCTATAAGAATTTCATACTTGGATGTTTGAAAGACCTGCTATAGCTTAGTGCACATGAGAAGGATCTAGATTTTTAATACCTTGCCCAGAATTAATAGAATGTATTTTAAAATACTTGGTATGATACAGAGTTATTCCCTGAAATACCAAAGGATTTTTTTTTTTTTTTTTTTTTTTTGCTACAGATTGAACCCAGGGCCTTATACATGTCAGGCAAGCACTTTACCACTAACCTACACCCCAGCTGTAATATTTCCCCTAAAGGTTTTTGGTTTTGTTTTTTTTATTTGGGTTGTTTTTAAGACAGGGTCTTGCTATGATACACAGGCTGGTTTTAAAATCATGGACAAACTTGGAGGCTCAAGAGCTCCTCTTGTTCCCACGTCCCAAGTATGTCTCATCACCTCACTCAGCATTGCTGATAAACTGAATGATTTAGCCAGGTGCTGGTGGCTCACACCTGTAATCCTACCCACTTGGGAAGCTGAGATTGGGAGGATCAAGGTTTGAGGCCAGCCCAGGAAAATAGTTCACAAGACCCCACCTCTAAAATAACCAAAGAAAAAGTGGACTAGAGGTGTGGCTCAAGTGGTAGAGCACCTGCTTTGCAAATGTGAAGCCCTGAGTTCAAACCCCAGGCCCACCAAAAAAACCTTTGCATGACTTAAAAACTTAAAGCTGGCTCAGTGGTGCACACCTGTATTCTCAGACACTTTGGAGGCTGAGACAAGAAGATCACAAGTTTGAGGCCAAGCTGGGCTATTATATTGTGAGACCTTGTCTCAAAAAACAAACAAAACTATAAACTTGTACACAGCTCATTTTGCAGCAGCAATTTTCTTGGTACATAAAAAAGTAAAGCATAACTGGGATGCTACTAATATTGATCTAATTGAGTTGTTTCTGAGTCCAGAACATTCTTGGCTGTTTACCATCTGTTTTTGCGATTACAATCCCTCTTTATCCCACAAATGTGACAAGTAAGTTTGTAGAAATTAGGATTTGAGGGTTGGGGAGTTGCAGTAAATGTTTACCTGAGCTGGGAACTAGTGCTCACGCCTATAATCATAGCTACTCTGGAGGGCAGAGATCAGGAGGAAGGAGGTTTTAAGCAAGCCCAGACTAATAGTTCATGAGACACCCTATCTTAAAACCTCATCACAGAAAGGGCTGGTGGAGGTCTCGAGGTATAGGCCCTGTGTTAAAACCTCAGTACTGCAAAAAAAGGGGGAAAAAAAATGTTTACTCGAAATTACTTTGTGGGGGGGGGGTGGTGGCAATACTGGGGTTTGAACTCAGGACCTCACACTAGCTAAGCAGGCACTGTACCACTTGAGACATGATGCTAGCTCTTTTTTGTGATGGGTTTTTTCGAGATAGGATCTCATGAACTGTTTGTTCCAGCTGGCTTTGAACCTCAGTCCGCCTGATCTCTGCCTTCTGAGTAGCTAGGATTTCAGGTGTGAGCCACCTGAAGTTCCTATTTTTAAGTTTACTTTGAAAATAGTCTTAAGCTGTAGGGTGATTTGGCCTATTTTATCTTTCTAACAGCTATAATTTGTTCATAAATTGTTCACAAATAGTGAGCTTGGATTTGTTCACAGCAGGGAGAGAGGTTGTATGGCAAGTGTGAAAGACATCCATGTTTGTGTTTTCACCTATCACATTTATAGTCCCCAGTGCCCACTAAGTAGCCGTCCTTCTAGACTGACCCTCAGGATGCAATGTGATATCCGCTACATGCTTCTGTTAGCATTGTAAACATGCACAAAGGCAATCAACAGATTTTATCTCCTCCAGCATATCTAAAATGTCATTTCAGTCATTTATATTTAGATGCTTTATATTCAGTTTTTGCAATGTCTTCAAAATTTAGCTTGTTACCTTCTCACATGTGAGGGAACATCTCAGTTTGCACTTCCAGTGCTTCATATGCCCACAGTCACACGAGACCCAAACCCCCCATAGTAGACAGTACAGTTCTGAACACTAGAAGAGCCACTGTCCTTCAGCTGTCATGACAAGGGTCTTCATAGACACCTGCATGGATTTGTGCTTTGTCTCTGAAGTGCTGGCTTGGTGCACTTGTTTCACGCGGGGCAGACAGTGAACGCAAAGGCCATTACCCCAATTGGGAAGGGAAGACTTCTTTAAAAAAGTAAAATACACAGTTTTTCTGATTGCCCAAGGAATACACACTTGTTAAACAATTCAGAGCATGATGAATCAAACAAAAAATGGTAGCTGATTCTAAGATGAGTTTTTGTGGGGGTGGTTTTAAGGTTTCTTTTGGTTGCATTATTGAGGAGACATGAGCTCTCAAAGGGATGCTAAGTAAAACATGGTATGCCGTAAATACACAGAGCAGTGAGACTCATCTGTCACAGACCAGGTGCACTGGACCTATGGTCCAGAGTACAGAGCTAAGCAGGGTCCAGGCTTCAGCTCATAATGCAAGATGACAGATGCTAGCATGAGATGGAATGGAGCCTTTTGTGTGGTGTTTCGCTGGGTCTGACAAACATCCAAACAGGATAGGAAGTTGGCTGTCAGTCTGGTTGAATGAACATGGTGCACGCTGTGTGAGTGCATTAGGTTGGAAAACATCCAAACGTGTTAAGGGTTCTGTGTGTACATATTCACATGATTTCTTAGCCAAAGCAGAGGCTGCATGAACTTAACTGTGCTGAGTTTTGAGGTACCTTCAGACACTCATCTTAGTCTTTGGACACTAAACAGGATGTAGCTGCTGAAATCCCATGTCTTTATTTATTTTAGAAATTCATGTTATGCTTTCAAACCAAAAGCCATATATTACATCAGTAAGCATGGTGTTTAGAAATAATTTTTAACTTTGAGCTGGGGACATGACTCAGTGGTCAAATGCCTGCCTACCAAGCTCAAAGACCTGAGTTCAAACACTAGAACCACCAAAAAGAAACAAACACATACACGTGTGCAAAAAAACAAAGAATTTTTAACTTAATCCCTGACAGGAAGAACTCACTGACAAAAGTACTTGCAACTCTGAATCTTCTGCACCCACATAAATCCAGATTTTATTACTGATGCAGAAATATTTGATTATGTAATTTCTCGTGTTTTAATTATAACCAGAGTCATTAATGAGTTTCATTAAAAAAGAATTTGGGATCTAGACATTTGATATATTTATACAGTAGTGGTAGTCTCAGTGTGTTTCCATACGATCAGTTTATAGATTCACATCTGCTCATAAGATGGAAGTTCCTGTGCCTTGGGCATCCCCAGCTGGCCGTGTGGTGCTGTCCCGTGGTCAGATGCCACTGAGGAAGCAGGTAGTCAGCAGTGTAGTGAGCATTTTCTTAGTGAAAGTGGTCACAAGTTCCTTGAATTACGCTTGCACTCAAATTTTGAACTGTTTGAAGCTTTCGTCTCGTGTTGGTCTTTCAGCTTTTAAGTTTGTATGCTATTTTAGATATATAGATTGGGGGAGGGGTGTGGTACTGGGGTTTAAACTTGGCCTCCTGCTTGCTAGACTGGTGATCTACCACTTGAGCCACTCTACCAGCTCACTTACTTTACTTTTTTCCCTCTGCTAAGACATTTTTCTAATTACTTTAGTCACTTACTAGTAGCCATGGTGTATTATGCCTTCATTATTGAGTTTGAACTCAGGGCCTCACACTTGCTAGACAGGCACTCTGACCACTTAAACCACTCCGCCAACCCTTTTTGGTGGTGGGTTTTTTCGGGGTAGGATCTTATGAATTATTTGCCTAGTCTGCCTTTGAACTATGATCCTCCTGATCTCTGCCTCCCAAGTAGCTAGGATTATAGGCATGAGCTTCTTCATCATTCTTCATTGTGTTGATGGTTCTGTAGATAAGAAAGCAGACTGATAACAAGGTAGTGGCCAGAACATCTCATTGGAACGGGATTATCTATTCCAGATCCCTTTATCTTTTCATGGAACTTAGATTTAATGATTGCTTGGCTTGAAAACAAAGTCCTTAATGCAATCTAGAAAAACAGTTTTTGGCTTGGCTGGCAGATGCTTGTTGCCTGTTTTGTTTGGGTCTCACCCTTCCCAACCTCATGTGGACTGTGAGTAAGACAAAGCAGTGTGTGCCAGTTGTGAGAAGGTGACATTAGCCCCCTGGCTTCTTGCTCCTGCCCCAGCTTCATAGTGGTTTCCACCAGGGCTACCTGTAATTTTGGGGTTCCCAGGGTATTGTGCTGTTTACATGAGGGGTCTTCAGGCCTTAGGTAAGTTTGGTATTATGGAAAATCCATAAGCAGTAGTGGGATGGGTACTGTTGGAGCACAGGGAAGGAGATAGTGCTCTATTAACGCATTCTGCTCTTGGTCCTGACAGCTTGTGGAGGCCCTGAAACTTTGGAAGATGAGGTCCTGGGACTGAATGTGTGAAACACAACTAATTTCCCTTTGTCATTATTTCCTAGGATGCTCGAAAAGCCTGTGCAGATGCAACTCTCTCACAGGTAAGAACCTTTCCACTGTATCTGCCAAGGCAGAAGCCAGCCAGGCTGGTGCCACCACCCAGAGTGCCTGGATAATATCTGCTCTGCCTATCCTGTGCCCTGGGGGGTAAAAACACTGCTGACCCTTTCATTCAGAAGTCATTGTGATGATAGGTAATATGCTTGTGTTCTTGAGGTGTCTTGCCACACTGTTCGCACCCTTCTTGTAATGATGGGGTGACAAGATGAAGTGAGATGAAGGGTGTAGGCATTGTGATATGGCTTTAGGCTTTTGCACAGGGTTGTATGGAACCCATGATCATTGCAGTACTGCTGTAATCAGTCTGATAGCCAAGACAGCTACTAAGTGACTGACAGATAGTGTACTTACAGCATGGATTCATTGGACAAGGTAATTTACATCCCAGGCAGGACATAAAGGCGTGTGAGGTTTCATCACGCTACTCAAAATGACATGCAATGAATTGCTTCTGTCTGTAATTTTCTGTTTAGTAGTTTTGGACCTCAGTTCACTTGAGTATTTAAAACCACGGAAAGCAAAATTGTCAATGTGGTGAGGACCATTCACAGTTGCTACAAGGTGGAAGCTATCGGTTTCCAAGAGTAGATTGTGGTTTATCTGCCCAATGGAATATTGCTCAGCTATGAAAAGGAACACAATGACACATTATAACACGACTACACTTCACAAGTATTATGATAAGAAAGAGGAGCTAAACACACCTGGCTTTGTATTTTATGATTGTGTTTATGTGAAATTTCCAAATTAGGATTAGACTGCGGTTAGGGAAGTGAGGGGTGGGGCAGATGGTGGGTGTGCAGCGCCAGGGATACTCTGCATGCCAGCATAGCTATGTCAGCGTCTGAAATTCCATTCATCGCACGTGCACCCTGGAGGGAAGAAGAGCTATCCTAAAACTAGAAGAGCTGTAAGTCAGCTAAGGTTCAGAACGCCATCCCAAGACCACTGACCAACAGGTGGCAGAGGGAGATCACGGATGGAGAGTCATTTCTTGGCTGATGTTAATCTGCAGTGACTTTATGTTTAAGATCACAAACAACATCGACCCAGTGGGAAGAATCCAGATGCGCACCAGGAGAACGCTGAGGGGGCACCTAGCCAAGATCTATGCCATGCATTGGGGCACGGACTCCAGGTACGCATGGGCCCTTGCAAAGCAGTGCTTGATAGATTGGCAGATGATTCTGCTTTTAGGGGAAGGTAGGAGTTTGGAAGTTAAGTCAGGAGCCTCGCAGGCTAGTTCTAGCATTCACTGACACACATTCCCTGCCCAAACCTCCATTTAATGACTGACTACGCAGCAGTGTCTTTACTACCGAGGCATGTTCGTAACAGCTCTGACTTTCCTTCTCTCCTCACTGTCCTTTCAGCTTTTGGACCTTTGTCATCCCAACTCCACTGCAGGGGCTTCTCACATGACCTGGAGGAAGTGATCTTTCTCTCTCTGTTCTGGTTCCCCAACTCCTCAGCCTGTTTATACCGCTTCTAGGCCCTGGGCTGGGTGTTCAAGCTGACTTAGCATTGGAGAATGAAGGGTGCTGAGCCTTGGACAGCAGCCTATGGTCTGAGGAACTGGGTGTGGGCTCAGTTGACCTTTTCTTCAGCCCTTGCTTGGCAAGCACACAGGAGGCACGTTAGCAGTTGTCACCATTCCTTCTTCCTGTTCTCTCCTTCTACTTGTTTTGTGTTCAGATGTCACAGTGGAATTATCTGCTTGGCTTTCTCTTTATTCCTGAAATTGTCTGCTTTAGAATGTAAACATCCACAGAAGAAAAGATTCTATCTTTAGTTTGTTCTACAGAGGGTCTCATACAACTAACTGCATGTGCAGATGAGCGTGTGATACTTTTAACGATGACAGCAGTCACAATAAAAAAGGAAGGGGTGGCTCTGTCGCTCAGAGGGCTCAGAGTTTCAGCTGGAAGGGAGGGTGTGTTTCAGAGACCTTTACTGCACTGTATTATCTCTTTCAAAACTTTTAAGAGTAGATTTATTTATGTATGTGTGTGTATGTATGTATGTAGTGCTGGGGATTGAACCCAGGGACTTATGTTTATTGCCCCACCACTGAGCTATACTCCCAGCTCAAGAGTAGATTTTAATGTTCTCATTACAAAAAAAAAGTGACCTGGTGCCTCACACCTAATTCTAGCTACTTAGGAGGCAGAGATCAGGAGGATTGTGGTTCGAGGCTAGCCCAGGTAAATAGTTCAAAAGAACCTATCTCAAAAAAACCCTTCACAAAAAAGGGCTGGTGGAGTGGCTCAAGGTGTAGGCCCTGAGGTCAAACCCCAGTACCACCAAAAAAAAAAAAAAAAAAAAAAAAAATATATATATATATATATATATATATATATATATTCAGGGCTAGACGGGTGACTCAAAGCAGTAAGAGTGCCTGCCTAGCAAGTATGAGATCCTGAATTCAAATCCTAGTGCCGCTACAGGGGGGAGAAAAAACAGTGAAATGGTCTTAGCTACTCGGGAGACAAAGATCAGGATGATCCCTGCCATTATCTGCCAGTCCAGATAAATGTTCCACAGACCCCATCTCAAAAATACCCAACACAAGACAGTTGCCAGGTAGCTCAAGTGATAGAGCACCTACCAAGCATTGTGAAGCTATGAGTTCAAACCTAAGTACCCCCTCCAAAATAAAATTAAGAAGTGCTCTGTGAATGCAGTTATTCCATTAAAACTGTATAAAATAGGGCTGGTGGAGTGGCTTAAGTGGTAGACTGCCTAGCAAGTGTGAAGCCTTGAATTCAAACCCCAGTACCACCCTCCCCCCCCAAAAAAAAAAAGTTTAAAATTAAATAGGGCAAAAGAAAGAAAATACCCTTACTGTTAATTAATCCACCTTAGGATTTATCAATAGTAAATGGTACAGTCAGGTGTGGTACTGCACAACTCTGACCCTAGCACTTGGAAGCTTGAGGCAGGTAGATTGCAAGTTCTAGGCCAGCTACATAGTGAGACCCTGTCTTGAAAAACCAGAAAAGAAATGCCAAAAAGAAAGTAAACAGTAACAAAAAGGGTATGACCTGGAGCATTTCTTCCATATGTGGAAATAGTAAATTGATGTGGTTTTCAGAAGCCCTGGAACTGGAGGCGAGGTCTTGGGAGCTCAGTGCCTAGAGCACCAGACTGTGAGCTGGTTTTGGTGCCCTTGGCATTGAGTTCCTCAACAGCCAGGCTCTGAACCGGGAGTCTGGAAAAAGGAGTGTGAGCTGCAGGTGTGTTCGAGGAACCAAGGGATAGATAAGTGATTGCAGCAGTGGATGTGGTGGAGGAGGGGGCGGGGCGCCCTCTGTGAGGCAGATGAGCTGGTGACAGGTCACATGTTTGAGGCCTTAAGTTCCATCTGGTCTCAAACATGACCCGTGCCTTGAAAGCCTTGGGTGAGAAGGAAGAAAAACAAGGGCATGAGTCGGTGAGACCAAGTTCAGAATCAGGGCACCCTTGTGAACAACGGGCATAGGGAGTCCCGAGGAGATTGGTAAGGTTCATGTTGCTTTGTTCTCATTCTTGGGGAGTATGCTGGGAACATGGCACTGTTACTGGTCTTTAAATTGGACAGTTAATCTGGCATGTTTGCACTTGCCTGTATCCCAGCATCTGGAGGCTGAGGCAGAAGGGTCACAAGTTCAAGGCCAGCCTGGCTATATAGCGAGACCTGTCTCAAAAAAAATAAAAAAAACAAAATTGTGCTGGTATAGCTCAAGTGGTAGAGCGCCTGCCTAGCTGGCATGAGGCCCTGAGTTCAAACTCCAGTACCACAAACAGAAATAATAAAAAATAAACACAAGAACTGAACCATTTGGTTTCATTATGAACAATCACAAAAGAAAACCAAGCAGTAGTATTTGCTTGAGCCTGTGCTAGCCAGAGAGTTGAGGGATTATTTGTTCTAGATGTTCATGTTTTCTGGATAGGTCAGTGGTTGCCTCTTTACAGTCCAAAATAGCTGTTTGGAAGGTGTTTTGGATGTGCGTTTTCCTTAACTCATCTTCGTATTTCCAATCTTCATAGGAAAAGGGTATTGCAAAAGATTCTTTTCCATGACACAAGGCTGTAATTCCCAACTGCAGTTATGTTTTCATTTGTGTGATTTGTGGAAACTCCCAAACTAATGTGGTGACTAGCGGTTCATTTCAAATCTACAGGAGGGGCTCTCAGAGAGTGCCTTGTATGTATGCATGTGTTAACATATTTTTAAAAAATCTTTGCAGTGTTTATATCAGGATATTCTTTAATGCTAAAATTTGACTTTTTATAACATTTGAGATGTTCTTTCAGTCGTGGATTTTTGTTTTACTTTCTTTTCCCTTTCCAAATGCTATTGTCTGAGTAAAATGAAGGGTATGAGGGATTTGGGCTTTGACGCCCCTTTCTGTTCCATGACCATTTGGCTTCTTCCTCACTCCTGCCTATGTGTGGGGAGCTGCTCTAAGCAGAGGACAGGGATCCAGGAGGCCCAGTTACCTCACCTGGGATTAGGAGGTATGTCTTCTCTCACCTTCTAGCGGATCAGCACACAGCTTAACATTGCCCTAACCCCAATTTGAGTCAGCAGTTATTAAGCTGTCTGACCTGCAGAGAGCACTGTGAAAGTGACCTGGCCAGTTAGATGAACCACTGCAGATGGCTCTGAAACTCTGCTCAAAGCCTCAGAGAGACCAAACAGAAATAGAGCAGCTGAAGGCCTTGTACTGTTCTTTGTAAATGTGTAAAGCCCCTGGTGTGTGGGTGACTCAACGTGGATGGCAGAGTTGGCTTTCAGAGTTTTTGCTCCCATTTCATTCCTGGGGAGAAGGAAGTATTTCTTACTTTTCCCCCATTTCTCTCCACTTTTATCCTGTTATACTAAATTCCTCTCCTAATACACTTTAGTATTACTTTCACTACCAAAATAAAAAAGAAAATCATCAGAGGAGTGGGGATGTGACTCAGTGGTAGAGGTCACTCAGCAGCCATGGGCCACCTCTCGTGTCCCTCTGCTAACTTTCTGTAGTTAGAGCTTTCAAAATATATATACACATGTGTTGGGGGTGGAGCTCTGTGGTAGATGACTTGTGTGTCATGCACAAGGCCCGGGGCTCCATCCTAGTATCACCCAAAAAAGAATTCCATCTTCAAAGCACACTTAGTTTATTTCTGTGATGAATTTTGTAACAAAGTACTAAAAGACTTGTTACTCCTTGCCAAATCTATTGACTCCTTTGTAAAGGAAGTTTGGGTATAGGATATCAAAACACATAGTTTGATTAAAAATGTCAGAGTGACCAAAATAACTTGATGGAGTTTTACCTCAAGCTTTTGATTAGCTTCAAGAAGCTAAATATGCTTATAGCTGAGATGGTTAGAACCTGTGTGCTTTGATTTAAACTTTGAAGTTGAAAGTCTATATATCATTACTTACCACAGTGACAGTTATCTTTGTATGGAATTGCAAGAGCCTTCTTGTCCTTTCTTCAACTGCATGTTCTGGGGGCTGCACTACGCATAGCTGTGGTATCTAGAATCACTCTGGCTCTCTTGCTTTCCTCTTGCAGTGTCCTGCCTTAATTCTGCAGGTACAAACAGAATGACTTCTTAGTGCACAGATCCCAAATTTAGCACAGCTGCCCTGAGAAAGGAAACAGTCACGAACCATTCACCACCAAGTGTAATTATGTTGTCATTTATCATTGCTTTACTGTGCAGGTGGTGCTGAGGGCCTCCTTATGTTTTCGGAAACTTGCCTTACACTTTTAGCTTAGTCTGGGAAGTTTAATGGGCTTTTTGTTTTGTTTTGTTTTGCTGGTTCTAGGGCTTGAACTCAGGGCCTCACACTTGCTAGGCAGGCACTCTACCACTTGAGACACTCACCCAGCCCTTTTTGTGTTGGGTATTTTCAAGATAGGGTCTGGTGAGCTATTTGCCTGGTGTGGTTTTGAACCTTGAGCCTCCTCATCTCTGCCTTTTGAGTAGCTAGGATTACAGTTGTGAGCCACTGGTGCCCAGCCTCATGGACTTACTTTAATGGAAAATGTTTTATAAATTTGGAGTTTCATGAATTTGGATTATCTGTAGGTTTTTATTCCTTTATGCCCAGGTTTTCTCTGTGTCAGATATAATTTTGTATCGTTTTTCTCTTTCAAAAGATCAGTGTCTCCAGTGTGATTTGCTATGAAAGGAAACTAAGCAGAAACCCATATGAGAAGAGTTAGGCACATCTCAGCTGACAAGGGAGGGAGGAGCCTGGTGGTCTGGTCTGCATAGAGGCCAAGGTCCATGGGTCAGAATTGTTCCCTGTGACAGTGCTTCCATTCCTGTTGTCACAGTTGGTCTTTTTTTCTCATTACTTCAGAGCACTTTATCCCAAGCAGATGCAGTGTTGGAGCACATGTTAGAAGTCATTAAAGTTCCGTTTTCCTATCACCTCCTTTGTCGGATTTCTGTGGCCAGTAGGACTGACAGTTTGCTTCTGTTCTTGTCTCCAGGCTTCTAGTCAGTGCCTCGCAGGACGGAAAACTCATCATCTGGGATAGCTACACCACAAACAAGGTACCCTCCCAGAACACCACCAGAGAATACCTCACTGACATGGGCTGGCAGGGCTTCTGTACTCGGTTGGGAGGTCCTGAGGGGAGGTGGGCAGCTGCCTACCAGCTAGTGGCTGTTCCCATCTGTTAGGGGCACAGCTGTGCTGTCACTCCCAGATCACTACCACCTAAGTGGGAGCCTAGTGCCTCCTTGTGTTTCTAGGAGAACTGTGTTTCAGTCTTAGCTCAGTACATGAGGTTTCGTGTCTTATTTATGGAATACAGAAATACAGCTTTACAGGCTGGAGGTATGGCTCAAGTGCTAAAGTGCCTGCCTTGCAAGCTCAAAACACTGAGTTCAAATCCCACTACAGCCAAAAAAATGTGCAGCTTTTCATTTAGTTACTAGTGTCTTTATACAAGAGAATCAGAAAGGTATCATACTATGGAGTATAGATTAAATTCGTTTTAAAATTTAGTTAAGAACCAGGAATGTAGTTCAGTGGTAGAATACTTGCCTAGTGTGAATGATGCCCGCCCTGGGTTCAATCCTTAGTACTGCAAAACACACACACACATACATACATTTAATTAAATGTAGTGGGGCATGGTGGTGCCCACCTGTAATCCCATCTACTTAGGACATCAAGGCAGGAAGATTGCTTAGCCCAAGAGTTTACACCCAGCCTGGCAGTGTAGTGAGACCACTCCTCACAATAGGGAAGGAAGAGAAAGCAACTGGGGGTGGGGGATAAGTCATTAAAAAAAAAATTGGTCATACTCCAGTGGCTCACCCTGTAATCCTAGCTACTCAGGAGGCAGAGGTGGGACGGATCGAGGTTTGAAGCCAGTCCAGGCAAATAATTTGTGAGACCCTATCTCGAAAACATATGATACAAAAAGTGCTGGTGGAGTGGCTGAGTGGCTCAAGGTGTAGACCCTGAGTTCAAGCCCCCGTACTGATAAATAAATAAATAAAATAAAATCCAGGTTATTTTGTATTGAATTACAAAGTACTATCATCATCTAATTTAGTTATATTTTACCAAAGCATAGTAAATGTATATTAAAGATACTTAGAAATTCCAACAGATCTATGTAAAGCACAGGGAGGTGTTGGCAGGATTGATTACAATTTACAGCTTGGACATTTACTTATGTAAAAAATATATATATATGTGTGTGTGTGTGTGTGTATATATATATAATATAAAAATGTATGAAATATATTTTTTAATGAATTTCAGTAACTTGGGGGGTGGTACTGGGGTTTTAACTTGGGCCTTGAGCTTGCTAGGCAGGCAGTCTACCACTTGAGCTACTCTGCCAGCCCTGTTTTATGTTGGGTATTTTCGAGATAGGGTCTTTTGAACTATTTGCCAAAGCTAGGCTTATACACATTAGCCACCAGCACCCAGTTGAATCCTACCAATTTTGACAAGCTAATGAAACATTTTCCTTTAATAGTCTCCAGGGGACAAGGTTTCATTAGGTGGTTCAGGCTGTCCTTGAACTGGTGATCTTCCTGCTCTGGCCTCCTGAATAACTGGGATTACAGGCAGGCACCGGCACGCCCAGGTTGTAGTTATGCTCTTGAACTCAAGGGTGTTTGCTTCATCTGTATTCTTGTCATTTAGGTCCACGCCATCCCACTGCGCTCCTCCTGGGTCATGACCTGTGCATATGCCCCTTCTGGGAACTATGTGGCCTGCGGTGGCCTGGACAACATTTGTTCCATTTACAATCTGAAAACTCGTGAAGGGAATGTACGTGTGAGCCGTGAGCTGGCAGGACATACAGGTATACATTCTCATTGATAACCTCAAGTGATTCAAGCTGCTTACCAAGAGTGCATTATGTGCTTTCATTGTTCGCCTCTGAAAGTGATTGGTTCACTATAAAAAGATGGTAATGGCCATTTTTATTTTGAAAATGAAACCAAAACCAGGCCTTTGCCACCAAAATCACAGGGGTATGTTACTATAGCCTGATTTTCTAGTGTCCCAGCTTACCTGTTCCCTGAATTGATAACAGCCAACTTTTTTCTTTGTCAGCACTCTGTAGCTGAGTTCTCGTGTGCACATTTTCCATCCTGAGTGCCTTTGCACAGGTGCTCCCAAATCTGAACACGTGTCTGTGTGCACACATGGGTGCATGGCACGCAAGCTTTTCCACATGCGCACAGATGAGTGCTCCAGTAAAGGAGGCCAAGAAAAAAGTCTGGGCTGCTCAGTGGCCAGCCGTCTTCAGATGTGAGGTACATACTGTTAGGTAACCTAGAACAGTTTTTCATAGCAAAAGACAGTGTTTTCAGAAAAAGATGATCTTTGGCTATATTATGCATCCTATAAAAATCCTCTTTTAGTGTGTTCTTGGCAACACACCACCAAGGCTGTCTCCTTTACATGTAACCAAAGAAATGATCATTACCAGAGTGAATAGCATTTCTTTTCTAGGATCTGATAAAGAAGTTAGTTTTAACCAGATGAGAGGATACTCTGTCCTTTTAAAGATAGGCTACCTGTATTCAATGATTTCTTTTTGTGCTGTTTGCTTTGGGGTTGCTTTCTTATTTATCCACTTTTTAGGTGGAACCTTAGGCCACTGGTTTTAGATGTTTTTTCCTCCTCAAACATAAGCACTTAAAGTGACAAATTCCCTATAAACATGGCTTTACCTGCCCTACAAATTTTGATTTATTGCTGGGTGCCAGTGGCTCACACCTGTAATCCTAGTTACTCAGGAGGATTGTGGTTTGATGCCAGCCTGGGTAAATAGTTCAAGATATCTTATCTGGAAAAAAAATACCTTCACAAAAAAGGGCTGGTGGAGTGGCTCAAGTTGTAGGCCCTGAGTTCAATTTATTTATTTGTTTATTTGGCAGTACTGGGGTTTGAACTCAGTGGGATTCCAACCACCATCCTCCTGATCTCTGCCTCCTGAGTAGCTAGGATTACAGGTGTGAGCCACGGGTGCCTGGCGCTTTTAGCACTTTAACGATTTATCTTTGGCTTTCAGAGCTCGGCTGTGATATGCCTGGAGTGGTTTTTTTTGCATTTATTGTGCTTTGGCATCTTGAACCAGGAAAGTTGGTCTTTAACCAAATTTGTAGGATTTACTTTTTTGCCCTAGAGTCTCTGTGGCTCAGTGGGCTTTTCTTCAGTCTCCACTAAGGGGACATCTTCAAATAACTTTTCTGCCCCAGGGTTTCTCTGGCTTGGTGACTTTGCTTCAGTCTCCACTTCCTCAGAGCTATTCATTGTTAATTTTTTTTGTTTTGTTTTGTTTTGTTTGGCAGTATTTGGGTGAACTCAGGGCCTTATCTTGCTGATCCACAACCTAGCCCTCCAGCAAATTTTTTATGTCAGGTATTCTTTTTAGTTTGAGAATTTCTATTTGCTTTATTTAAAAACAGTTTCTATTTTTCTGCTGAAATTTCATCTCTTTTCACTCATAACAAGCACAGTTGTGCCAGGTGCCTTTGAAGCAAGCCTCCTCTTCGCAGCATCTGGTCTTGTGAGGTGCATTTCTGTAAATCTTTCTTATTGAAACTGGGTGGCACTTTGCTACTTTTTAGTGCAAGTAGGGAATTTGAATTAAAGCCTGGACATTATAAATGGTGTTCTAGAGACTCTGGACTCTTTTATAGTCCTTTCAAATACGATGTTTAGTTTTATCAGGTAAGAAAACTGAAAAAAAAAAAAAAAAACCCAAAAAACTACCTCTCATTTTTCTTTTGTACACAGCAGGTAACATGTCCTCTTGCCACTGGTCAGGCTGTGTGTGGGGTCTGCCTGCCTATGTACCTCAGGTGTAAACTGGGCACTTGCTGTGCATAATTTAGTGCTCCCTCTGATGCTTTTTCTCTCATACTTCTCAGGGACAGTCCCAACAGGCCAGCAGTGTCCTTGCTGATTGTCCAGTAGTAGAATGGCAGGAGTTACTTGCAGTCATTCAGGAATGGACTTGGGTGTTTCCTTAAGATGCAAGGGCCATTGTGGGGCTGGCAGAAGCTTCATACGGTGGAGTATCCCTCTCAGACTTTGGGTCTTGCTGCAGAGCTTCAGAGAGAGTTTCGGATGGGCTTGCTGTATTGTTGGCATTCGGTCTTTTCAGAGTCTTTCTTAGAAAATAAGAATGCCCTCTGGAAATCTTCCTGGTGCCTCATTTGCTGGCCCCCATCATCTCATGAGGCCCCTCAGCCTGCCAGCTCTCTTTTCTTACCCGGTATTCATTCTCGATGTGCTCTTTCAGTTACTGTTACTCTCTTTCTCCACTGAGTTGTGAGCAAGAAGCTTCCCTGCACAAAGGTGCAGTGTTTTGTTATAGCTGTTCAGAGCCACCCCACTGGGCCCTGGAACCACTCTTTTTGAACAAATGAGTGAATAGAGCAAATAGAGGGGAACAAAAGTGAAAGGAATCCCTGCCTTCAGTTTGCTGAACTGGTAGGCAGGTGGAAGATGCAAGTATTTGGTGGTATAGCTTGCTGCCCTATGCAGAGTGTGGATTTTGGAATGCTGTCCTGTTTTCCTGGTCCTGCTCCCACCTGGCTGGGATCTTGACCACACTCAGCAACACACAGCTACCTGCTTTGTTTGCTTCACTGCACATAACAGAACAGTTACTCTCCCAACCCAGACATAGATCTCTCAGAAATATTCATTCCATTGCTGTATGTTTTTACATTTAAAAGACTAGAGGATCAGGGCTTGCTAAATTTCTGTCCTCATTTGGGTCTGCTTTTTTCCAGGTTACTTGTCCTGCTGCCGATTCCTGGATGACAATCAGATCGTCACCAGCTCTGGAGATACCACATGGTAAGTACCTGATCAGGACAGCAGCGAGGTCTGAGACTCTTCTCCCCTGTTCACACCAGTAGATCTCGACATGCAGGAAGTATGAGTCTTAACAGTAAGTAGGCCATTTTTAATCTGAAATGGCCAGGAGATTTAAACTCAAAGTGTCCATGAAGAAATTTTTAGTACTATTTGTAGGTGTACAAAGTTTATTTTTGAATAGAGAACTGAAATAAAGATATTTTAGACTGCAATCGTGCGTGGAGTACCTCTTTTTCTATTTTATTTTGTGTAAATTTTTATTTAAAAGGTTATGTCCTATAGTCCTGTGGAATTGGGAGATTCACCTGTTCCTCTATGATGCCAACTCCTTGTGAACATGAATGTAGCTTTCAAACTGTAGGGGTCATAATTTTAATGAACTAGATCAGACTTCTTAATTTTGAACTGTTCATTTGCTGGCAGGTGGAAGCCTACCTAACTAAACTCTAGAATTTTTCCATTTGTACATAAATGGAATGACCATATTGTTCCTTTATGAGAGTTGTTTTAAACTTAAGCTGTCCTTGTGGGCTTTTCTGGTCTTTGGGAAGTGTAACCAAGTGACCAGAAGTAGCCGTGGCTGCCTGGGCTGTGGCACAGATGCCTAGTCATGTTGTTGGCACAGTCCTTGTTTGATGACAGGTCGGGGGCTGCTGAGATGCAGGCCTTCTCCCACCTCATCAGCAGTGAATCATAGTGCCATTGGGTATCCTGGTTGTGTAAGTTTCATAGATTTACAAAATCTACAATACAGTCCCTCTGTTAGATGTTTCTGAAGCATGTTCGTGTATTGATCATTTTCTTGAGACTCTTGCCTCTGCTTCCTTCCTGCCTTCTTCATGCCACATGCATTAAAACTGGCAGATTGGGTTTGCATTGCCATGCCAAGCCAGGCTCTCCTGTGAGGTTGACACTTCTGGGTGGTTTTCAGTCATGTTACTTTCTGCAGGTTGAACCCAGGACACACATGGATGTGGCTTTCAGGTCTGGCACTTCTCTGCACAGGTGCTGTTGGTGTCTCACCTCTCAGCACCATCCAGCCGGAACCCAGAATACTATGTGCAGTTATTAAGAGCATTTCTGTCTCCAGGTTTATGACTCTTAGGAAGAGCAGTGGAGCATCAAGAGTTTCTCTGAACCATTATTTACCTGGTATTGTCCTGATGCCTAGGCAGGCACGGGAGGAAAGGCATAGAGGGAGCATCATAGGTGGAACAGGGTTCTCTTCCTTCATGGTCTTAGCCGGGACTTCTTGTTGCCTTCACAAATCATGAGTGAGCAACATAACCCCACATCCCTTGCTTTGAAAGGGACACAGGCCCTCATTTCATTTGCTGGTCTGAGCTGACTGGGAGACTGGAGTGACTGAGGCTCAGCCGATGTTCTCATCCATATAGTTGTGTTTATTTTCTTTGCTTTGTTTCTCCTCTAAGCAGAGATTACAAAATTTAAATTTGTCTTACATGCCGGGTATCAGTGACTCACGCCTGCAGTCATAGCTACTCAGGAGGCAGAGATCAAGAGGATCCCAATTCTAAGCCAGCTCAGACAAATAGTTCTTGAGACCCTATCTCAAAAATACCCAACACAAAACAGGGCTGGCAGAGTAGCTCAAGTGGTAAAGCACCTACCTAGCAAGTGTGAGGCCTGAGTTCAAACCCCACTTCACACCTGGGTGGTGTGAAGAACAGTGTTTTAAGTGGCTGATAGTTTGAGATGTGAGACTGACATCTGATTGTCATTTGTTCCTGTTCCAGTGCTCTGTGGGACATCGAGACTGGCCAGCAGACGACCACGTTTACTGGACACACTGGGGACGTCATGAGCCTATCTCTCGCTCCTGACACCAGACTATTTGTCTCTGGTGCTTGCGACGCCTCAGCCAAGCTCTGGGATGTCCGAGAAGGGATGTGCCGGCAGACCTTCACAGGCCACGAGTCTGACATCAACGCCATCTGTGTGAGTTCAGACTGTTTTCCAGATTAGATATTTTCTTAATTCTTTTTTGGTGAGACAGGATCTCATTATGTAGCCCAGGCTGGCCCTTGAACTCAGTCCTCCTGCCTCAACCTCTTAAGCACTAGGATTACAGTTTGCATACCACCATGCTTGGCTTTTTGTCTTCCTTTGCAAATACAATGAAATGTACCAGTTTTAAGGACTGAGCTGACATTTGGAGGACAACTGATTTCTCTGCTGTACATTCATTTCTCAGGCATTGATGAGGCTTGTGTGCAGGGCCATCCCTACCCTAGTGTGACCAGTGCTTTTGGATCCTGGAATTTATCTGCACATCCTCTGCTGGTCAGGGGCCCAGTGGGTCCCAGGAGCCCACCCACCTCTCTAGCATCCTGACCTCAGGGAAGTGTTTCCACAATCTGACCTCACTTGTGAGGCAGTTTTGAGGGCTGGGTCTGGTTGACTTGAACAGGGCTGTGTTCCTTTCTCTACAGTCTTTCTGATGGCCAGCAGTGCTTATGCAGCAATGACTGCATTCTTACCACTCCTGGACTGAACTATCCTAGGATGATCTGTGACACAAGCACGGACTGACTGTGCTTCCTGGGAGGCCAGCTCTGCTCTTGCTGCAGCCTGGCTTTGTTTATCTTTCCTGACAGCAACATCCCGCTGCTAGCAATCACATTGCCATTGTTTCTGTTTAGCGTTTTCACATGTCTTGATTTCCCTTCCCTTTGTAGTTCTTTCCAAATGGCAATGCATTTGCCACCGGCTCAGATGATGCTACATGCAGGCTGTTTGACCTGCGTGCAGACCAGGAGCTCATGACCTACTCCCATGATAATATCATATGCGGGATCACCTCAGTCTCCTTCTCCAAGAGCGGGCGCCTCCTCCTTGCTGGCTATGATGACTTCAACTGCAACGTCTGGGATGCACTCAAAGCCGACAGGGCAGGTAGGTGGCCCTGAGGCCTTTTTGTTCCCTGGATGCCCAGATCATTCTTTGGGGTGGACAGGACATATGTGAGCTGAAACATGTAGGTTGGTGTCAGCTGGATTATGGCACCACAGAGTAGTAATGGTGACTGCCCCTGACTGCTGCACAGTGGAGCAGGCTATTGAGCAGTTGAGTGGGTGTGTCCCAGTGATGAATATCAGAAGCAAATTTGTTGTTGCTGAGATGACTAAAACACAAGCTGGATAAGCCTTTTGTTTCTTGGTTTTTTGTTTGTTTGTTTGTTCGGAGGGATTTTTTGGCAGTACTGGGGTTTGAACACAGGGCCTCATGCTTGTTAAGCAGGTGCTTTACCACTTGAGCTACTCTGCCAGCCCTTATTTCTTGTCTTTTTGGGGCAGGGTCTCAAAACACCTATAGCTCTAGCTCAGTAGCCAGGATTATAGGCAGCCGCAACCCACCTTTGATTTTTTTTGACTGTGACTTTCACTCCATTGTTTATTTAAGCTTCTTTAGTGACTGTGCAGAATCATTGCAAGAGGTTCTGGGTTAATTTCCTCTAGGTGTGTCCCCATTCTCTTTACAGATGAGGCACATTGGTGGTTATCCTTTTTAACAAGCTTGACCACACACTTCAGTTTAACTTCCACTGGACAGAACTTTCTCCCTTCCTGGTGTGCTTTTCTTGCTCTCTGAGGCATTGCTGGGACTTGACTAAGGGGAGTCTGGGTCCCATCAGGATGAATTGTCCAGCCCTTGCCACATCCCAGACTGGTGATACAAGACATCTCTGGGCTTGAGTGACTTCTTTTTTCTCGCAGGTGTCTTGGCTGGACACGACAACCGTGTCAGCTGCCTGGGGGTGACCGATGATGGCATGGCTGTGGCGACAGGGTCCTGGGACAGCTTCCTCAAGATCTGGAATTAACGCTGGTAGGTAGGGAGCAGCCTCAGTGCCCTTTCCTGAGTGCAGCTGTATGTATCTCCAAGAAGACATGAGGTTTTGATGCATGGTATCTAGATCAAAAAGGATGTGGCATTGGTCTGGAATTGCAGCGCATCCAAGGTAACCTTCCTCACCTGTGACCCTGAGGAGCCATGGAAAGGAGGGTATGCTGAGTGTGGGTCTGAGCTCAGATTCCCCATTGACCTAAAACTCTGTTCCCAGCAGCAGGTGCATTCCACGGTGACTGGAAGACCATTCCACCCTTGAAGCGTGACAGCGATAGCATATCCTATCCAACCGTACTAACGTGGACACCCACACCTCCCCTCAGAACTTCAAAAGGGCAAGATCTTTTTTCCTTCACTTATTGCTGAAACCAAGAGCACAATTCCCATTAAGAGAAGGATCTCTGTGCTGTAAACTAAAACAAATTGTGCATTCCTTCTGGGGCCATTGTCTTTGTTTTCTTTTTTGTCTTGGATGAATTTTAAAAGGAAATACTACAATAAAAATGTTAACCAGAGGTAAACCTGAGTGTAATTGTGAGACAGACACGCCTTTTCACTAGTTGATTTGAATTTTAGACCAGTGATCCTGTTTTGTGGCATTCATGCAAAGCAAGTTGAGGACTTTGTTTATCTTGTAATCGTTTCTAAGTATCAAGTCGTGTTTGTAGCAGGATTTTGGAAGCATTCACATTTCCTTTTTAAGTATATTCTTTTATGCTCAGTAGTTAAGCAGACCTAGAGCCTAGGGTGGGTCTCTGACATTGTCAGTGACACAGTTTAGTCCCTGACTTCTTATGTTTGTCTCGAGTCGCACATGACTGTTGCACACAGACACAGCGTAGTGGAAGAGAAAGTTCAGTAGCAAAGTAACCAAGCACATGCTGCGATGGCCACAAATCTTGGTCAGAGTCCTTCGCCTTTGCTGAGCAGTGCTCTCAGACCCGGCATCCTTCCTTCCTGACCTTGGTCGTTTTCTCCCCCCCCCCCCACCTGACCTTTGTCGTTCTCTCTCTCCCCCTCCAGCTGACCTTTGTCGTTCTCTCTCTCTCTCTCTCTCACCCCCACCCTGACCTGACCTTTGTCGTTCTCTCTCTCTCCCCCCACCCTGAGCTGTCCAGTTCAGTTTCTGCTCTTACCTTGGGTTTCCTGTGAAGTTGGGAGGGAAGTTTGTAATCTCTTAACACTACCTGCCCCACCCCTGCCGTCAGGAACCTGTTCTCCAGAGAGGTGCCTGTCCTGTGCTTGGATAGTCAGTCTGTTATTTGTGTATGAAACAATGTATAAATCAATGTTTTGAAAATAATGATCTCAGACTTTCTAAGTTAAATTTTAAAAAATTTGATTGTTTGCCATATTGGGTGGGTTTACTCTTAGAATCGCATGCTGTAGAAATGCTCAAAAGTGCATATAGGACTCAGTCCTTAGATGTTCTTTTTCTTTTAAGAAATAACCTCTTAAAGTTGTAACCGTGGCGGCTCTGTCCACTTACTGTTGCTACTCTGCACACATATCGAAAGCAGCAAGCGCTATACACGTTTGAGTAGTGGGATAAGTCACTGTTTTCTTTACTTTAAAAAAAACAAAGCAGTCCTGTTGCAAATGGTTGCTGTTGGATTCCGAGGGAGGGGAGGAGGGAAGGGGAGTCCCCACCCTACCCCCACCCACCTTGGCCACTTCCTTGAAACCTGCCTCCATGGAACAGCCTTTGTATCTGAGGCAGACCATTTTTACATCATGCAGATCTCCTGGTTTTCATTTCAAGCCCAGGGTTCAGCAGCAGCGTTTGGACAGCAGTGTTCTGTGGGCCCTCCCCTCCTCCCTGCACCCCACACCCCTAATAGCAGCAGTAGTGGCTTCGCCATCCTGTTTTCTGCAACATCCTGTACAAAACTGTGCTGTGACCGTGCAGTAGGCCTGGACCTGGCAAAGAGAATACAGCGAAGCCCCTCCTCTTTCCATTAATGACTCTGTAGAGCTCTCTGTATCCTTTACCCTTTTCACCTTTTGTATTTAATTTTAAAGTCAGTGTACTGCAAGGAGGCTGGATGCAAGATAGATACTATATTAAACTGTACTGTTATTTAAGATGTAATAAAGCAGTTTGACATGAGGGACTATGGTGTGATGGTTATTTGTGGGTTGATTTTAGTGTATGGAACTGGCTGCCTGCCCCAGGCTGCCCCTGCTGTCACATGGCCAGACTCGTATGGTTGGTCACAACACCTAATATCACCGAGGACCATGTAAAAGTGGTGGCCACTTGGAGGTTCCTGGAAAGTTTCTCATGTCAGGGCTGCAGAGCAGTGAGGTCCACCTGCCACCACCCAGGCCAGAAGAGCGCAGGTGGCTCTTCCTCACTGTTTTAGGACTCTTGCCCAAGGCTCTTACTATCTCCCTAGGCCCTGCTTTGCTCTCTCTTCCTCTTGGTCTCCTCCAGCCAGTTTCTCTGGCTTCCTCTTCCCATCTGAGGATACCAGGCACTAATGGCTCACACTTGTAAGGGTCACACTGTAATCCTAACTACTTGGGAGACTGAGATTGGGAGGATTGAGATTTGAGGCCAGCACGGGCAAATAGCTCGAGAGATCCCCATCTCCAGTACAACCACAGCCAAATGACCTGGAGGGTGGCTGAAGCAATAGAGTGCTTGCTTTGCAAGTGTGAAAACCTGAGTTCACACCCCAGTTCCACCCACCCACCCAACCCCCCCCCCCAAAAAGTGAAAAAGACAAAATGTAGAATCATGCACATAATTTTTTTTTAAATCTGAGGCCATTACTTCAGGGGTACAGTTTCTTTTTCTTTTTTTTTTTTTGGTGGTACTGGGGTTGGAGTTTAAACTAGGTCTCACACATTTGCTACTTTGCAGTGGCTTTTTTGAGATAGGGTCTCCAGAACTCTTTGCCCAGGCTGGCTTCAAGCCATGGTCTTCCTGAACAGCTAGGATGACAGGTGTGAGCCACAGCACATGGCTGTTTCCTTTTGACTGAGCAGCATTTTCATCTCATTCTGAGTAAACAAGCTGCAAGATGTAAGAGAAAACAGGCATCTGTTACCTACATGTGGAAAACAAAGCCTTAGGCCGGGTGGCACTGAGTGCCTTCAGCTTCCAGTATCCCATCCACTTGACTGCTGCGAGGCCAAGTTTAAATAACTTGTCAGGTTATAAAAGGTAACTAATTTTCATGACCAGATGATGGTACTTCCTTCAACACGTAAGTGAAAGATGTCCCTCTTCTCCTTTCCAGCGTGGGATTTGCCCATCTCATCCTTCCCCGTGTCTCCTGATATAAATCTGCACGCCAAGCACCGTGAAGAATGCAGGAGAGTATCTGAGGCCCTTCCGGCTGGGGGCAGTCTCCGTGGGTGATGGCTACCCCACCCACTCCCATTTTCTGCCTTTGGGAATTACCATATCCTCTGGCTCCCAGCAGGGCAGCAGCAGGTGGGACCTCGGCCATCCCATTGCCACATTCCTTTTCCTGTTGTAGGCACAAAGCCAAAATTTACACCAGTACCAGTAAGCCAGCAGGAGAGACAGTAGTCTCCTGCCTTAATGTCCCTCCCTCCAGCCTTTGCCACTATTCCTCCTGTGTCACCTGGCCCTGCCCCACCCATTGGGCACGCCTGGGGCATGCACCCACAAGTAGTCTCTGTGATTCTGATTCTGCTACAGAGCCTAGCCTCAGCAAGGACCCCATAGTCTGTGCACCTGGGGTCCCACCACCACCATCCTGTCAGCACATAGCTGGGTGAGCCTGAGCTCTGGGACCAAGTTGAGGGGTTGGTCCTGGTCTACCCAGACCCCCCCCCCAGCAACCAGCCCACACTTATGTTCCCTTGCATTGCACACTCTTACTGCCGCCTGCCCCCTGTTCAGAGTCCAGATCAGCTAGCTGCCAGTCTGCTGTGCCACCCCTTGTGACAGCGATCTTTGCCTGTCTCAGTTTCCCCATATAGAAAATACAGCACAATTCCCACCTGGCCACAATTCTGTGAGGACATAGTGCACTAGCACAAGAACACTGTTGACGCCTGCCCCAGGCTTCTGCCCCTACTGTTGCCTTGGCCTGAGGGACCCTGAGTACCCCTAGGCAAAACTTCCTTCCACCACCTGTGTCCAACCAACCCAAAGGTAAACCCCCCACAGGCCTATTCCCTTCTCAACTAAATCATTGGTGTGCCTAGAACATGGCTGATACTTGGGTAGAACTGCACAATCAGCAGACTGTCAAATGGGACATTCTGGACACTGGCTTCTGGTGAGGGCATAGATAAAGCCAGGAAGGATGACCCCAGTCTCTGCTCCCAGACCAGAGAAGCTGAGCCTAGTTTATGCCAGGTGCACTGGTAGAAGCCAGAAGTTGGAGGTTGGATGAAATGACCTTACAATAGCCCTTGGCACTCATCTCTGCAGGAAGGTTCTGTCCTTCCTGGCCACTTCACCTTTTGGGTGCTGAACAGTCTTCATTCACTGTGCTCACCCCAGCCAGGCCAGCTAAGGCCAACCTCCTGCCCAGATCTGGAGCAGACACCAAAGAGGTGCAGCCTGCACCCAAGTGTTCCCACCACCTGTGCCTGAGAGCCAAGGTGTTTCCGCCCCCTACCCACATCATAACAGCATGGTTCTGGGCATAGCCCTCTCCATCCCTCCTGGCCACCATCATTCAACTCTCCGAAGAAGGTGGACTCAGATTCTGGGGATCTGAAGTGTAAACAACATGGGGGCCATCTTTAAAAATACAAAATGAAAAATAGGGCTGGTGGTTCAAGCCAAGAGCCCCTGTCTATCAATAGTAAGTGCAAAGCCCTGAGGACCCAAGTATAGCCAAAAGAAATAAAATAACCCCAACAATAAATACTAAGTTACCCTAACAGCTGTGCCCACAGCTCTGGGGACAAGAAAAGTTCAGACAGGGCCATGTCAGCCCTGCTGCAAGTCCCCTAGCTCCTCAGAGGCCCAACCCCTCTTTTATGCACAATCTGCCTTTCAATCTCCTCCCACACTGGGGTGTTTGACCTGTTCTTTTCCTGAGCCTTCCCTGACCCTTTGGACCTGGCCCACATGAAACACCTCAGCTATGGCCTTAGCTACTGCCCTCAGTCCTACGTGGGTGTAAGCTCCTGGCCCCTGAGTCCCCAGCCTCTGTTGAGGCCAGTTCTGAGATGTTGCACAATCAGGGTCAAGGTCAGCCACAGCCCTTGTTTCCACCCCTAAATAGGGAAGCTGCCTACACTGGCTGCAGGGCCGGGGTACCCGTGAGTTCCCTTTAGAAGGACCACACTTGCTGTGTGGGCTTGGGTGATTGCTCCCATTCTAGAAGTTTCTCTGGAGGCCTCGCCCAGGGCCTGGCATCCAGCACTTGACAGCAGCCATCAAGCGTTATTACAACTCTAAGAATGGGACTGGTGGAGTGATTCAAGTGGTAGAGCACTTAGCTAGCAAGCCTGAGGCCCAGAGTTCAAACCCCAGTACTGCCACAAAAAGAAAAAGAATAATAATGGTCACATCAAAATATTCAGCTCAAACTTCTCTTTCTGTGCCTGCGGGCTGACCATCACTTTGGGGAAGCAGTTGTGTTTACAAAATAACCCTTGGGGAAGTTACAAAGTTTAAGAAATTCCCCCCAAATTTCCTGTCATCCTTGCCCCCCTCTCCAGTCACCCTTGGGAGCTCCACTTCCAGTTTGCACTGTTCTAGGGACAGCAGTGATGTTCTTTCCAGGAGGACAAGACACGGGCCCAGGAATCGCCGCCAGAGAGCAGCCTGACTACAGCAGGTATGGGGCTGTTGGGAGGCCTGGAGACTGAGCTACTACTGGGGACCCAAGTGCACACGGCATGCCAGGGGTGCCTTCAGGATCACAGAGAAGGAACGAACTTAGGAAAACCATGCCTGGTGCCTGGGGAGCTAGGAGGCACCTACTGGTGGCACCGCCCCGTCACCTCCCTCCTGGAGCCTGGCACGCGGCTGGGCCATCTGAGGCCTGCAGTAGCGCAGGGTACTCGCCAGTTCCACATGCCCCTGGACTGGGGGAGCCCGCAGTTGCCATAGAACCTTAGAAGGCCTTTCTGGCGACCCTGTCCCTTCCCCGCTCCTTCCTGCTCCCAGGATGTGGGTGGGGACAACACTTGTTCCGCGCCCTGTCTCAGGCTGGAGACCCCAGGCCCAGACCCGAGGTGGTGACAGCGAGGCGCCGTGCAGCCCCGAGGGAGCGCAGCGCTATGGCAGCTGCTGTGGCATATTCTGGTTCCGGAATTCCGCCCGGTCCACGCCGAGTCACACCCGGGTCATGAAGGACTCAGCGGCGGGCCGGGCCCGTCGCGCGGCCCCTGCTCCCCGAGGCCAGTTTATCAAGCTGGCCTGCCTTAGCCCTCGTGGTCCGGGAGGCCTCGCCGCGGCGGCGATGAGCAGGGTAGCGGGAAAGGTCAGGCAACCCGGACAAAATTCCAGGACGCCGCCGGGAACCAGTGCCTGGGGTCGCGCCCCTCCCTCCGGCCGCCCGTCCCTCCCTCCCTCCCTCCCTCCGGCCGCCCGTCCCTCCCTCCCTCCCTCCCTCCGGCCGCCCGCCCCTCCCTCCCTCCCTCCGGCCGCCCCTCCCTCCCTCCCTCCCTCCCTCCCTCCGGCCGCCCGTCCTCCCTCCCTCCTCCCTCCCTCCGGCCGCCCGCCCCTCCCTCCCTCCGGCCGCCCGCCCCTCCCTCCCTCCCTCCCTCCGGCCGCCCGCCCCTCCCTCCCTCCCTCCGGCCGCCCCTCCCTCCCTCCCTCCCTCCCTCCGGCCCCTCCCTCCCTCCCTCCCTCCCTCCGGCCCCTCCCTCCGGCCCCTCCCTCCCTCCGGCCCCTCCCTCCCTCCCTCCCTCCGGCCCCTCCCTCCCTCCGGCCGCCCGCCGCCCCTCCCTCCGGCCCCGCCCTCTCCCTAGCTCCTCCCCGCGGCGCGGCGCCCGGTCGAAGTCCGGCCCACGTGCGCGGCTGGCGGGAGTGCGCGTGCGTGGAAGCCGCGCCTGCGCACTGACGGCCGCGGCGCAGCGCTGCTCGGCGGCGCCGGCGCCGGGACCGGGCGGCCATGGGGCGGCTGGCGGCCGGGACGCCGAGAGCCAGGTAGCGGCGGGGTCCGCGGGCTCGGCCCCGCGTGTACACGCCCCGCGGGCGCGTGGCGGACGGTGAGTGCGGGCCCGGAGCCGCCCCTCCTCAGAGCGCTCTTCTTGTGCCCGGAGCCGCCGAGGCCGGGGCTGGCGCGGGCATCCGGGTTCGGGTCACCCGGCCGGCCCTGCCCACCTGCCCACCTGCCCTGGGAGTGAACGCTGGAGGCGCGGGTCGCCGCCTTCGGTCCGCATGTGGCCTCGGTTCCAGCCCAGGGCGGGGCACGGGCCCGGGGGACAGGTCGGGGGAATGGGCCGGGCTGGGTCCTGGGGACGGGACCTGGGGGACAGGCCAGGGAGATGGGTAGGGGGATGGACTTGGAAGACAGACCTAGGGGTGGGTAGGGGCATGGTCCTAGGGCAGAGTGAGAAGGGTGAGAAGACCGGCTGGGGATTGGGTCTGGGGCAGGGCTCCAGCGGGGGTCTGTACTGGTCCCTCTTGGTTTAAGCAAGGGGCCTTTGGCAGGTGAGAGCTCCCTGGTGGGAGGTAGCAAGTTAAGCATTCTGTATAGTAATATTGGTGTGGAATTCTATAAAATCAGATTTTTAACTTGGTACCCAGTACCTGCCAGAAAATTGAAAAGCCCTCAAAAGCCCATGGTGATGTGCTTTGGGCATCTGCCACCCAGTCCCAATGTCAGTACCCACAAGCCCCTAACCTTGCGCTCTGAGCTGTTTGGTTTCCTAATTGTGGGAACAGGGCTGCCGAGTGCCGTCTGATGCTCTGGCCATTCTCATTCCTTAGCCAAGAACCCACCTCCCTTCCCGTCTCTCTTCCCTAAGCAGTGGATTCCTTTGGCTTTAATTCTGGATAATGAGTTATTTTTCCTTTCTTGTTTTGGAACACACACTGTTTTAGTTCAAAACTTACTTATTCTTGGCTCTTAAGGGAAATGCTGTTCAAAAGTACTCATTTGTTCCATTTGTCACTGCTGGGCTTCGTCGATACGAGGTTGACAAGCTTGCCTCAGTAAGTAAGCAGTTTTGATATCTTAGGCGTGTCTTAGGCATACTTGAAGGACTCCCTGTTTCCTGAACACTGTCTTCCCAAACCTGTGGAGACTCTGTTCCCTTGTGAGCATGGCATGTTCTCTACAATCACTTCTTCACTGTGACTTAGCCCCCCCCACAATGTTGTCCTGCCATGATTCCAAGCTACAGTGTCAACAGGTGCCCATGCACTGTCCGATGAGGTAGGGGTATTTGGAGGTGACCCTGGAGAATGTTCGTTCTCCAGGAGACAATTATAGTGGTGCTGTGCAGTTCTTTCTGTTTTGTTTTTTCCTGCAGTACTGGGGATCCAATCCCGGGCCTCATACAAGAGGCAAGAGCCCAGCCATTGTGGGGAATAGGTGGCAAACAGGACAGTGGTTCTTGTGGTTAAGTGAAACAAACCCTACAGGTGACCTGAGTTTACAACTGAATGTCAGCTTCATGTGGAGAATGGAGAGGAGTGATGGGCCCACATCTTTGCTGCACTTGTTTTCCAGTCTGCCCCATGCAGGTGGAACCACATTTCTGTCCAGCCCCCTGCAGACCCATGACCTGTTAAGCTTAGGTGCTCACAGGGTGGGCTCCATGGTCGCAGTGCCCCAGGACTTTCCATAGGCCTAGTATGCTGCTAGCATGGGTACACTTCTGTCACCTCCCTGCTACCTGATGAGATGGGCACTTAATAAGCACAAACTCAGCATTAATGAGTGCATTTGAGCACTTCCCCATTTCTGTCACTAATTTTCCTTTTCTTTTCTTTTCTTTCTTTTTTTGACACAGGGTTTTACTGTGTAGCCCAGGCTGGCTGGCCTCAAACTCACAATCTTCCTGCCTCGGCCTCCCAAGTACTTAGATTAAAGGCATGTACCCCACGCCTGGCCTTAGTTTTCCTTTTCATTTGCTGTTTCCACAAATATTTGTTGTGTGTCCACATAGTACCTTATATGTATTATGTTTGTATTTGTGTGTGTGACTTTTGTTCATGTCTGTTGTATATATATTTATTTTAGCATCTTTTTTTGTTGTTGTTGGAATAGGGTTTGAACTCAGAGCTTCAAGCTTACAAAGCAGGCACTTTACCACTTGAGCCACTCCTCCAGTCCTATTTTAGCAATTTGATGTTTCTCCTCATTATTTTGTATGATCTTTTTTTGTTTTGTTTTACATATAATTATTTTTAGGTGGTACTGGGGTTTGAACTCAGGGCCTCACACTTGGTAGACAGGCATTCTACCTCTTGAGCCACTTGGCCTAGTGATGTGTCTCACTGGTAGAGTGCTTCTAAGTTTACTGCGGAGTCATCAAATTGTCTTTGTGAGCAAATATTGATGGAGCTTTAGTAATAAATCAGTAGTAACACAGACCAACCTGTCAGCACTTGATCATGCTGTTTGTCCACAGTGTGCATGGTGTCCTAGCGTCAGTAGTGCTTATGTAAGAAGCCTCCATGAAAACCCAGGACAAGGTTCAGAGAGCTTCAGGATAGTGGAACACATAGAAATTCCTGGGGGGCTGTGCACAGGGAGGGCAGGGAAGCTCGGTGCCCCTTCCCTACACTTCTCCCTAGGCATCTCTTCCACTGCATCCTTTTCACTGTCCTTTGGCTTCCTCCACTATCCACGTTTTCCTTAGTTCTGTGAGCTGCTCAAACAGGTTAATTGAACCCAAGGAGAGGGTTATGGTTTAGAGCTGGTGTGTCAGGAACACGGGTCACATTTTGGAGCTTGTGAGTACATTCAAAAGTGGGGGCAGCCTATGGGACCTGACCTGACCTCTAGGCATAGACAGTGTGAGAACTGAATATAGTTGGAGGACCGCTGCTGGACACCTCTGTGGCATTGTTGGCTGGCTTGAGGTGTGGGGAGTTCCCCCTCTGGTATCAGAAGTTATCTGTGCTGTACAGCAGGAGAAACTGAGTCTGAAACAGAGCTGGTTTCCCTTCTACATTATCAACATATCTAAAGTTTTTCTCTAGCCCTGGGTTCCAAAGATTTTTCCCTATTTTCTTATAAAAAGTTATAAACTTTCATTCCAGTTCGATTTGTGGTAGGAGGTGCTGAGGATTGAATCCCTAAGTACCTGCTTTACCCATGACCTCTGCTGTACTAGAGTTTGAACTCAGGGCCTCATGCTTGCTAGGCAACCACTCTATTACTTGAGCCACTCCCCCGGCCCTTTTGCTTTTAGTTGTTTTTAGGTCGACTTCTCACTTTTGCCCAGGGTGGGCCTCATCCTTTTCCCTATGCCTCTGGTGTAGCCAGGATTATAGGCAGGAGCCACCAGACCCATTGTAGTGTGAGATTTTCATTGAGGGGTTTTTTAATGTTTGTTTGTTTTTTGTCTATGGATGTCTACTTGCTCCAGCAGTTTGTGTTGAAAAGCCTGTTTTTCTTTCACTGAATTGCTTTTGTATCTTTGTCAAAAAAATCACTTGGACATATTTGTGGAGCATATTTTTGGGCTCCCCCACTGTGCCTTTGATTCTGTGTCAGGACCACACAAGTCTTGATTATTATGTAGAAAGTCTCAAAGCCACACAGTAATTCAGCCTTACTTATTTATGTGCAACTGAGTTTGAACTCAGGCCTTCTCACTTGTAAAGCAGATGCTCTACCACTTGAACCATGCCTCTAGTCCAATTTACTCTGGTTATTTTGGAGGTCTCACAAACTATTTGCCCTAGATGACCTTAAACCGTGATCTTCATCCTATGTAGCTAGATTATAGGCTTTTTTTGTTTTTTTAAGACAGGGTTTTATGTAGCCAGGCTCAAACTCTTGGTCCCCAACTCCGATAGCCTCAAAATATTGCTCCTCCTGCCTCAGCCTCCCAAGTGCTGGGGCACTGCTGTACTCAGCTTTCCCTTATTCTTTTTAAAAATTGTTTTAGCCATTCTAATTTCTGTTTAGATTTTAGAACAAGCTTGTGTATATCTACAGAAAGTCTGCCTGAGATTTTGATAGAAATTGCCTAAAGCCTACAGATCAGTTTAGAGGGTTGACACCTGCAGTCTGGATCCTCTCATTTAGGTGTCTCATTTCTCTCATCCTTGTTCTGTATTTTGAGCATACAAGTCCCGTGCACATTTTGCTGCATTTATATTTAAATATTTTAACTGATTATAAGCGATACTGTACTTTAATGTCAGTCTCTTTTTGCCATGGCTATCTAGGATCTCCAGTACTACAGTGAACACAGTTAGTGAGCACCACTGTCCTTGCCTGTTCTGACTCAGGGCAGATACCCGTGGCTTTGCCAAGGTTATCTCAGCTGCATGTTTCAAGGCCCTGTGTTCTCAGTTGCTGAGGGTCTTCATCATAAATAGGGCTGCACGCTGTCAGAGCTCTCTGCAGAAGTGACATTCGCTACCCTGTTGATGCAGTGGGTGGCATTGATGGAGGCATCACTGTGTTCCTAGAATGAACCTCCTGGGGGTTCTTGGCATGGTTGGCTCCTTCCTCCCCAAAGGCCCCCAGTACATGGCTGAGTTTATGTGACTTCCTAACTTATAAATAAAATTTAGATGTTAGACTTTAGGACTAGGGGTATAGTATAGCTCAGTGGTAGAGCAAGTGACCCTGAGTTTGATCCCCCAACAACAAAAAGAAAAAAATTAGAGTTTTTTAGGGTACTGGTGGTTGAACTCTAGGCCTTACTTGCTTGGCAGGTGTTGTAACCACTTGAGTTATGCCACCAGCCCTGAAAACTTAGACTTTTACTTTGGTTTTGGACATAAGTTTCCCTCTGACCATTTAAACAACAATAACATTGAATGTGTTCTTTGTCTGGATGTTACTCATAACAAACAAAATATACAGATTTCCAGTGATTATAAAACTATTAGGGTCTAATTCATTTTACCTCCTGTCAGGTTTCCAAGTAATTTTTTGGTGGCCCTGGGATTTGAACTCAGGGCTTCTCGCTTGCAAAGCAGGCGCTCTACCACTTGAGCCATGCCTCCAGCTCATTCTCCTCTGATTATTGTGGAGATGGAGTCTTGGGAACTTTTTGCCCAGAGTGATCTTTTTTTTTCTTTTGCAGTAAAGGCAGTACTAAAGTTTACTAGGAAAGGAATTTAGTATAACAGGATAAAAGTGATCCCTGTGCAGGAAATGAGAGCAAAGAGTCACAATCTTTTTTTTTCTTTTGTGGTATTGCGGTTTGAACTTAGGGCCTCATGCTTGCTAGGCAGGCACCCTACCACTTGAGCCACTCTACCAGCCCTTTTTTGTGTTTGTTATTTTCTAGAACTGTTTGCCCAGGCTGATTTTGCACCACAATCCTCCTGATCTCTGCCTCCTGAGTAGCTAGGATTACAGGTGTGAGCACCAGTGACCGGCTCCCAGAGTAATCTTACTAGGTGGCTATCCCTCCACCGTTTTGGAATGGTGAGGTTTTCACATCCCAGGATTGCAGAGTCCTGGCCGGTTCAGGCTGTGCTTGGGGCTGGGTGATGCTCAGAACCATGTAACTCAACTATAGAGCTTGGTGCTGAGCCATTTCCTGGTGGGTTCGTTGCTATTGTGCCTTAAGTGTCTCTTAAACTGTCCTTTGCAGGGTGGTATGGCTTCCAGAGTATGGTCCAGTTTTGTTTGGCCATTGCCTATAATTGTCATCTGTTGACCTTATAATCTTCTAGAAAGTTGGGTGTGCCAGGTAGAACATTACTTAATTTAGAAGGAGGTGAGTGCAGGGAACTGTTTCTGGAAGGCAAAGAATCAAGTCTGCACAGCCATTTCTCCCCCAGTACCTTCAGCCCTAGTCTGTGCTCCTATGTGGGGTCCTGTTATCTGTTACAAGGGACTGGCAACCACTGGCTGGCTGCGTGGCAGCTCTGTCTCATCCTTGTCATGTGACCCTGTGGAGGTCTCTCAGCCTTGCTGTGTCTCAGTCAGGGTGACTCTATGTCCTGGTGTTGCTTGATGAATTTCACTGCCCGTTGTGATCCTGGGCTCGATTAGGGCACTGTCCACACTCTTAAAACTGTCTGCCTAGTGTCCTCGTCCTCGCTTCTCTGGCACAGATAGAGAAGCACGTGGACCAGGAGCAGCACTGCCATAGGTACTGAGGGTCCCCCTGGCCAAGCACCTCTTCATGACACCACCCTTTGTCTTACACTGTTTTTTACATGAGTTGTCAACTTTTCCTTCATGAACCCTTTCTCTTTTTGGAATCCACTTATTCTGATTTTTTGTGATTGTGGGTTTTTTTAAACTTTCTTGTTACAACTTGGCTAAGTGGGTCCTATAAACTGCCCCTCTGCCGTTTTTTGGCAACAGCTTGCTCTAAGCCCAGGATAAGGTGTCATCACCATTTGAGGAAGTCAAGGTCACATCCAGCATAGAAGAGCATTAGAAACCAAACAAGCCCTCAGTGGCTGAGCATCAGAGAAAAGTTTGTCTGTTCCTCATCCTTGAGGAAAGAGGGTGAAGCTTCTTGGTCACAGTGCTGCATACTTTTTTCTTTGGTGTTGGGATGGAACCCAGGGCTTTGTGGGTCCATGCATTCTACCACTGAGCCACACCCACCCCTAAACTATTCTTTAAGTATTTTCCTTTTGAAATAATGAATCCGGGATTCACTCTAACATTACTACGTTCCTTTTATTTTGTTTCAACAAGTACTCTTTGAACTCATTTTCTCACATTACACCTTCTCAGGTGGGGTTTTTAAAATATAGAATAAATTAGGATATATTCGTTGTACAGGGGAATTCATTGTGAAATTCCAAATAGGCTTATATTGTACGTTGGTTAGGTCACCTCCCCCTTTCTTCCCCTCAGCACCCTCCCAGCCTCACTTACAGCAGTTGCAAGAGGTTTCTTTGTTCTTTTTCATACAGATACATGAAGTTCATCCACCATATTCCCTCACCTACATCCTCTTCATTCATCCTCTGTCTCCCCTCCCGCAAGTTACACACACACACACTGTACCTATTTTACAGTCCTGTCTTTTTTTAACAAAACATTCAATAACATTCCAAGGGTTTTCTTGGTGTGTCCCGCTGTGCATCCATTCTAGTTTGGGCAGTTCTACTTGTTCAGGGGTTTCACACTGTCTTTTGGTGTCTTTTTTTTTTTTTTTTTTTCTTGGCAGCACTGAGGTTGAATTCAGGGTTTCTCCCTTGCTATGCAGGTGCTCCACCATTGAACCATGCCCCCCATCCCCCTTTTTGCGTTGGGTTTTTGTTTTTGTTTTTTGTACTGGGTTTGAACTCAGTGTTTTACACTTGTATTAGCCAGGTGCTCTACCATTTGAGCCACACCTCCAGCCTGCTTTGGTTATTTTTTGAATAGAGTTTTCTGTTTATACCCACAAGCCTAGACTGTGTAAATATGCTTCCCGAGTAGCTTGTATGTGCTACCATACCTGGCTTTTACTGGTTGGGATGGGGTTTCGCTGTTTGCTGGGGCTGGCCTCAAACCACTATCCTCCCAATCTCTGCCTGCCGAAGTAGACACCATGCCCAGCTTTGGCATCTTTCTAAAATAAGTTTAGTGGCTCACTGATCACTCTTTGGGAGTCCCTTGAAAGGTCCCTCTGTGAATCTGACAACTTCTGTGGCCTCTAAGTGAAGACTTAAGAATGATGAGACCTACCTGGCACTGGTTGCTCACGCCTATAATCCTAGCTACTCAGGAGGCAGAGATCAAGATGGTTTCCAATCTGAAGCAAACCCTAAGCAAATAATTCCCGAAAATCTATCTTGAAAAAATACAACACAAAAAAACAGAGCTGGTGGAGTGACTCAAGTGGTAGAGTGCTTGCCTAGCAAGCATGAGGCTCTGAATTCAAATCTTAAGTACCACCAAAAAAAAAAAAAGAATGAGCCTCCTTAGCTGGGCACCTGTGGCTCACCCCTGTAATCCTAGCTACCTGGGAGGTTGAGATCAGGAGGATCATAGTTCTACACCAGCCTGGGCAAAAATCAAATTTTTTTAAATAAATACAGATGGCTAAGGAAGAGGGGTCTTGCACAGATCCTGATGAGTGCGTGGCCTGCTTCGTGAACCTGGCACTGTGCCCGGGAAGGTTCACAAGACATGCAGGGAAGTGGGCGCTGATCCCCCCCACAGCCTTCCAGGATTAAGAGCACCACATGCAATGCACTGTCTGTGGAAGAGGGTCTGTCACCGGCCTGATGCATTTTTTAGTTGGGTTATGTTTTTTCCTGCTGAATTTTGGGAGTTCTTTATATATTGTGGATACAACTCCATTGTCATCAATATGTTTACAAAATATTTTCTGTGGCTTGTATTTTCATTTTCTTAAGTGTTTTATGAAGAGTAAAATATTTGAAAGATCACTGAGAGTTTTTTCTTTCTAATCTTGTTCTCTAAAAGTTAAGTAGCTTTGGTCCTTGCAGAAGACTTTTGGTCCTATGGATGAATAACCTGTTTCGAGTTGATGCTTTTGTGTTACTTGAGGATGTGATTGAGCTTCAGTCTTTTAGACATGGCTATCCAGTTGTTCCAGAGCTGTTTGGTGAAAAGATTATCCTCTTGTAGAAGCACCTCTGCACCTTTGTTAAGAACCCCTTGCCAAGGCTGGCGAGGTAACTCAGTGACAGAGTGCATTGCATGCAAAGGTCGGGACTTCAGTCTGTTTCTGGATCCAGGGATCTATCCTGATGCCAGCACCATCCTGAGGGTTGGGTTTTTTGTTGTCGTTTTAGCTATTCCAGACCCTTTATGTTTGCATATGAATTTTAGTATCTGCTCACTTTATGTAGGAAAGTCTGTTTTCATTTTTTTGGGTTTGGGTAGAACCAGTAGATCAATTTGGGGAGAACTGGATCTTAATGGAGCCCTCCAGTCCGTGACATGGCGTGTCTCTCCACTTACTCTGCTTCATTTCTGTGGCATGTTTTGTAGTTTTCAGTACAAGGATCTTGTGCGTTTTTGTCAAATATATTCCTATATGTTTCATACTTAAGACATTTTAAAATCTCAACTTCCTTCATTGCTAATACAAACTATACTTGATTACTGAATTTTCCTCCTACAGGCATGCTGATAAACTCATTTATTAAATATAGTCACTTTTTCTTCAATATAGTCACTTTTTCTTCTGATGGCACTGGAGTTTGAACTTCATACTTGCTAGGCAGATGCTCTACCACTTGAGCCACACCGTTTATTTTGGTTATTTTGGACATAGGGTCTCACTTTTTACAGTTTTATCATTAATAGCACAAAGGAATTGTATTGTGAAATTTTCATAGATGCATACACTGTAGTCTGAACAAGTTCACCCCTCCATTATATTTCCTTAGCCCCTTCCTCTCCTCCTCTTTTGCACAGTGTTTGGTGGGTTCACTGTGCTGTCTTCATAGTACACCCGTAATACACTTGGAGCCTCTTCACCTCCAATACTCTTTTTATCCCCACCTCTTTCCCTTTCTTCCCCCCACCCCTGGTAGTCCTCCTTTCATTATTATTACCATTTTAGATCCACATTCTACATAGGAGCGAAAATAGTGTTTTGATTTTGGGCTTGCCTTAATTTCAGTCAAAATGATGGTCCCCATTTCCACTCATTTTTGTGTAAATGACATAATTTCATCCTTCTTTATGGCTGAATAATACTCCATTGTGTATATGGACCTTTCTTTTTTTTTAATCTATTGAATTCTTTAGATTCTCAGCACAGTGATGCAGTTCTTTCCGTAACTAGTTTTTTTCCATCTACACTGGTTTATTACAGTTCTCTCCAACCCTGCTTTTTTTGTTTTTGATGTACCCGTTTCCACCACTTCTGTTTTCTTTGGCTCATTTTATTCCATGTCCACCTTTATTGAATTAAACACTTAGCTCACTCCTTTTTGTTCTCAGGAGTTGCAGCTCAGCTTTAAAGAGTTGAATAGACTTGGCTTTGGGTTTGCAGCGCTCATCTTCTTGGGTGTTGTGCGTGTGGTACAGACTTTAGCTTTGGTCTCTAAGCTGGTTAGGAGAATGTTCCAGAACTCCCAAGTAGATGAAGGTCTTTTCCTGGTTTTATTGCCCTCTGGTCAAGAGATTAGATTCTGTACCTTTGCCACACTTGGAGTTTGACATTTTCTCTGAAGCTCACTGCAGGGCAGTTTGGTGACAGACACTAGACTGTTAGGAGGAGTGGAGTTCAGGGTACACCTTCTGGTTCACTGTGAGTCAGCATCTTTCTTCAGCTTTCTGGACCGAGAGGTATTTGAACTTGCATGCCATGTTTCTTCTCTTTGTTAACGTGCTGTGTACACCGCGACTTTCTGTTCAATCTCACTTGTTTGGCAGGCCGCTGCCTCACAGTGCGTTGTGCCCAACCCTTGACAATGACCCTTTTGCCTGGCGTGTGATAGACATGCCACCGCTCTGGCTCAGTTGTTCTTCCTCTCTCTTCACTTTAGTGCTCTAGATTCGTTCAGAAATGTGTGTGAGGGCCCCGGATGTAGTGCAGCGGTAGACTGCCTTAGATTTGGTCTCTAGCGCTGCAGAAAAAGAAAGAAAGAAACCACAGGTAGAATCCTGAGTTCTTAAATATTGCTGGGATGGAAACAGCCGGTTTTCAAAGTACTTTGGCAAATCAGACTTGGAGTGATTTTCCCCTTGATGAAATGGATGTGGACTTACATCATTACTGTGTCATGTATATTGACTCTCTTTATTTTATTAAATAAAGGCATCAGTGCTTTTCTGACGGAATTTCTCGTTTATCAACTATGGAAATGGAACAAGAAAAGATGAATGTGAGTAAGGAGTTGAGTCCAGACTCAGCCTCCTTCTGCTGCTCAGCGTGCCATGGGGATGAGACCTGGAGCTACAGTCACCCTATCCGGGGCCGGGCCAAGTCTCGGAGCCTGTCAGCCTCGCCTGCCTTAGGCACCCCCAAGGAGTTCAGGTAGGACCCAGAAGGCTCCCCATTTCCTCTGATGACAGGCACTGCCTGACTGTATTGCTTGATGAGAGTCGTGCCCGGAAGGCCCAGCTGTGTCCAGAGAGGAAGAGTCAAGCACGGATTGCAGGACGAGTGCTGGCGTGTACCAAATACAGGGCCACACATGGTTTTCTTTCTCCACCTCAGCACAGAGTCCCCAGCCAGAGCCTTGCCGAGGTGGTATTAGACTCCATGGGGAAGCATGGGGCCCTGCTCACCGCAGCAGGGGAGGACTGGGGAGCAGAGTGTAGGTGTGGCCTGGGGCCACCGAGCACCTCACACACAGAACATGACATCCAGTCTTCCGCAACACCTGACCTTCCCAGCAAGCTGAGGCACCTGTGCTCGCCCCACACTGCCTTTGTAACAGAGCTTGGGACCTAAGGAAAGACAGCCTGGCAAGCAGTGTTGCAATGGCACCTGGGGATGTTGTTTTCATTTCTTGTGACGAAAATGTGGTGAGTTTAGATGTAAGGTGGCCAGAGGCTGATAGCAATGCCTATAAAGTGCGTCACTTCTCGATCTTTAGAAAGGTTAGACTGCTCCACTAATGTCTTTGTATGGACACATATGATTCAGAATAAACATTTCTGTTTGAGTTTTAATCTAGATTGCTCACGGTAGTGCGTAAGGTCTCAATCCTGATTATAGGCCGAGAGACCTGCCGAGAGACACTGCAGGGCAGATCCTGGGCCTGTGCCAAGGCAGTGATGGGCTGGGCCTGTGCTGCTACTGGTTTGGGATGATCTCAGGAGCAGTTGGCTGGGTACTAGGACAGTGGTGAGCTCCAGCACCACATACTGGTCCAGGGCGGGATCCTCTGGGCCTGCCCTGTGGATGCTGCAGATGATGAAGCTAGTCTCGTGTTTCTTGGGGTCTGGCATAGCCTGACGTAACCTGTGTCTGAGTGTTTTGATAGCAGCCCTGCTGTGCCCCACAGGAGGACGCGCTCTCTGCATGGGCCGAGCCCAGTGACCACGTTTGGACCAAAGGCCTGTGTGCTGCAGAATCCACAGACCATCATGTGAGTGTGGGCCCTGGGGGTTTCTTCTTGGGAGTGTTGGGAGAGTCCTCTGTGTGGAGAATTCTGGCACTCAATGAGAAGTTTGTGTTCTTCCAGACTGTGGGGATGGCTTCCAGAACCCCACTGAGTGTGGGGCCCCTGAATGGGAACTCAGCTGGTGGCTTCCCTACCAGCCTTAGAAAGCAGAGGCAGCTGGGCTTGAAGGTGCACACCTGTTCCAATGGCGTCAACATGAGGTGGCTAGAGCTGCTCTTTGTTTCGAAGAGAACTGTAGGGAGTGACATTGTACACACCATTCTGTGCTGCTTTTAAGTGTCCCAGAAATACAGATACACCAGTTGGCTTCCTTTTCAACCTGATTTTAGGTGTTTGGAAAGATATTCCTTCTTGTCTGTTTGTTTGTGTGGGGGTTTTTTGCCATGCTAGGGGTAAAACCAGACCTCACACATGCCATGCACGCACTCTGCCACTGAGCCACACCCCGTCCAGGTTGCTCTTTGCAGCTCTGCCTTGCAAACTCTATCACTAGTTACAACTGCCCTGAAAGAGAAGCTGCCAATGGCTGACGTCTCCGTCAGTTGACTTCTGTTTCGTATTGATGGCTCCAAGAAGAAAGTGCTTTGTTAGCGTGTTGTGCGTGATGCTCTAGCTGTGTTTCATAATGTATGTGAGGAAAATCACTGAAGTGACCTGATACAGAATTCCAGCTCATCTTTCCATTTTGTCCCTTCTCCACAAAGACCTTAGCTGTTTGTGTTTTTGGGGTGAGAAGACCCACCACTTCCAGGGTCCGTTTCCTGCAAGCATAGGCCATGTGAAAGAGCAGCATGCCCAGGTGTGGCCATGTCTGTGAGGCATGTGGCAGTGTTTGTCAAGTCAAAAGATCAGCTTGAGAGCATGCAATGGAGACATTTGCTGCCTCACTCTTCCCTCAGAGGCATTCCTATAACTGTGGGACGGGGCTGGGCCAGCAGCTCTGGAGGCCTTCACGTCACACTGCGCCCACACTGCACGCTGCCGGACCTGGCTCAGGCTCAAGGCTGTGTCCACTTGCTTCATGCCCGTGTGGAGGCTAGCCTTTAGCCTGAGGTAATGCTGACACTGTTGCTTTTGGGCCAGAAACTTCCAAGAGCACAGTTGTGACCTGTGTAGTTACTTCTGCCAGATGTGGAGGCGGGGAGGACCAAGGAGTCCTGACCAGTTGTTTAACAGTCTCTGATTCATAAGCCCCAGAGATTACAACTGCACCTTCCCCTGTGTGGACTCTTAACCTTCCACCGTGGCCTCATTGTCTGTTATCTACCTGATGCACCTAGAGCCCCTGCCACTCTGCCACTCTCCCCCCCCACACACCCTACCTGGCACCATGGTTGCCCACTACCTCCTGGTAACCCAGTGGCCCACTGTGTTTTTGTGGTCACCAAGCTGCCTGAAGCCCCTTCCTGCCCTGCCTGGCACTCTCAGCTCACTTAAGTGCAGTCTCCCAAGGACCTTTCCCTCACCCAGACCAGGCCTGGGATCGCCTCATGAGCCCTGTGTCAGGGGCCTTCCTCAGGCTGGGACAGCCTCTGGCCCACTCCCTTAGTCAGGCAGCCCAAGCAGGAGGAGCCAGTGGAACTGTGGGTCATTGTCCAGGATAAGTGGCTTTCTATCCTGCTCTGGGCTTTGCCCGTGGAGGATGGAATGCTGTAGCCCACATCTGTGTGCACCCCTGTGTGCCTATGCAGCCGGGCAGGGCTTCATGTGGACTGAACTCCGACATTCAAAATCAGGTTGTCATGGAGTGTTGATAAGAGAAACTGTACTTCCTTCTTAGTCTAAGATTTCACTGTGAACTTGTATATTTGTTAGTTAAGTTATGGTGTATGAGACTGCCAGAAGCTGATAAATTAGTCAGGCATCCCTGGCCAGCATGGTGGGTCACTTGGAGCTGACCCAAGCAGGTTGAGGCCCTGCCTACTTGCACCACCCCCACAGCCCTGAGGGCTGGACAGTCCAGCATCCCTCTTCACAGATGACCCAACAAGGAAGTTGAGAAACTAGTTTGTAGTCACGAGGAGGGTTGGTGCCCAGGCCCTGTAATAGCATAACACTGCTGGTGGTGCTGGCCGGTCCTGCCTAGGGAAGCTGTGTCATGCGGGCAGGGCAGCCTGGGTGAGCTGTATATAGGGTAGAGGCTTGAAGGTGGGACAGAGGGCTGTGAGGTGATGTGAGCTGCCCACGCTCCCTGGAGCCCAGAGCCAAGCAGGTTCAGGCAGTGAGTGCCTTTCACCTGCCGCCCTTTCACCTGCGAGTGGCCCGGGAGCTCCGCCCTGGGGTGGGCCTAGGCAGCTCCAGAGCTCAGCCCTGATCTGCATGGCCAGGGCACTTAGAATGCCCGGGCTGCGGGGCCCGTGGTCCTGGCACTCCCCAGGAACAGGAAATTGAAGTTGGGCCTCTTTGCTGCCAAGGTTATCCTGTTATTTTTCTTTCTCTTAAGTAATTAGGCAACAAAGGTCACATAAACAGTAGAAGGTTACATCTTGTTTTGTTCGATTTTCATAAGTTTGGAAAGCTCTGTTGACTTAGTTGTTTCTATAAGACCTTTAACAAGTCTTCTAAATGTATGTTTTGCTTTCAGTTTTGAGTATAAAAATTAGGCTGATAGTGTAAATGCACATGTGGGAATATGTCAGCAGGCCAGGGCTGCATATCATCTGTCATTAGTGAAGCAGGACTGAGACCAAGACGTTGTGGATTTGCCTGCTGTCTCCTAGAAGGTGGAGACCTCAGGAGCTGCGTGAGTGATTCAGGTGGGCAGTGAGTCTAGAGAGGATGCCTGCCATGAGTAGCCCTCATTTCCCAGAAACTCCGGGGACTGGTGAGTGCAGTGACCAGGGACCATGGTCATTCATTCACAGGACAAGGACAGACACTTACTGCCATCATCAGCATTGTTGAAAGATGTTAATGGGACTATCACTGCCTTTGCAAGGGTGACTTGAAGTAGGTTTCTTGATTGGGGAACTTGTGCTGGATAGGGAAGTCTTTCTGCTGCTTGCATCCCGATTTCAAGAATTTGCCCAGTAGCTGAGGAAGGCAGTGTGGAGCACTGACGCTGGCTTACCAGTCCTGCCCACCTTGCTTCATTGGCTCAGGACAGGAGCTGGTCCTGCAGTACATGCAGACCTACTGTCCATGGGTGGTGCCCATGTTCTGGCCTGGAATATGCACGAGACTTCAACAGTATTGGGCATCGTGGGTGGGTGGGCCCTACCTTTGGAGAATTGGCATGGTGCCCACAGCACAGCAGACACTGGGTCAGAGTCTCAGGGTCATGGAAACTTAAAAAACATTTGTTCCCATAAGGGCACCACCATCTTTTTCCCCTGTAAAAATTGTCAGCTAAGTCCCTTGGTGGTGTAAAGTGGTAACTGCATACACCTGTCTGTAGTGCAGGAAAGTGCCTGACTCTGGCAGATCCCCGAGACAGCCCTGAGCCCACTATTCATGATGTCTGTGGTCAGCCAGCATCCTAATGGGCAGGGTGGCCAACATGGGCTTTTCCTTTTCTTGGCTGTGTGCAGTCTCTGTTCCAAAGGGGCCACCAGTAAATGTCGTTAAGGAAATGAATAGCGTATGTGGCCAGGCCTGTGAAGATGAGTAGCAGGTGTGGTTGGTCATCAGGGTTCCTGAGGGGACGTGGCCAGAGCCCTGTAGACATGGTCTGAACAGGGCAGGGTCCTCCAGGTCTAGCGCAGCTGAGGAGGGCCACCCTGGATCCAGCTGAGCCCTGTTCATTCCCGCCGGCAGTGGTCCAGGGACCACTGCAGAGTGCCCTTGTTCACAGAGGCAGCACATTTCCAGGGTTCATTTTTACCCCACATCATGTGCCTCCCTCCTTAAGGGAAAAGTGGCTGCTGCTGTGACCTGTCTTTCCTCCCCAAAGGCATATCCAGGACCCTGCGAGCCAGCGGTTGACGTGGAACAAGTCTCCCAAGAGTGTACTCGTCATCAAGAAGATCCGCGATGCCAGCCTGTTGCAGCCCTTCAAGGAGCTCTGCGTGTACCTCATGGAGGTGAGCCTGGCCTCTACTCAGGTGTCCCAGGCTCAGGTTTTCACACACAGGACAGTTTACAAAGATTAGAGGTTTGCTGGCTCACAGTTTGGAGGCTGGGAAGTCCATGATGGAGGGACTGTACCTGTGAGGGCCTTGTGCCATTTCAGCACAGCAGGAGCAGCGCCTCTGGCCTCAGCACTATTGCAGGGGTAGTTGGGCTTACCTGATAAGGGAGGCCTTCCAGTCCCTTCTGTTCCCAGTAGCACAGCTCCATCCTGGGTTAGTTTTAACAAGAAGAGGTTTAAGCTGGGCACAGTAGCTCATGCCTATAATTCTTGCTACTCAGGATCGCACTTCGAAACCAGCACTGGCAAATAGTTTGTGAGACCCTATCTTGAAAAAAACCCATCACAAAATAAAAGGGCTTGTGGAGTGGCTCAAGTTGTAGGCCCTGAGTTCAAACCACAGTACTGAGGGAAAAAAAAATAAATAAAAAGTTTATTTTGGCTCATGGTTTTGGATACGCAAGGTCCAGGGGCCACATCTGGTGATGGCTATCTTGCTGGCAGAGTCCCAAGGTGCACGGCACCACACTGCAAGAGATGGTCCACTTGGATGCATGCATACCTTCTGGTCTTTCCCTTTTCTAGTAGCCATGAGGATTCAAAGGTGGGGCTCCACCCTGAGCACCTCAGCTAATCCTAGTCACCTTCTGAAGGCCCCATCTCTGAACACTGTACTCACTTTACGTTTCCACTCTCTGCATACCTCACAACACATGTACTTTAGGGAACACACTGAAACCACATCCAAGCCACAGCACAGTATGGCTCCAGAGCCACAAAAGATGGAAAGTGCTAATTGTGAGGTCTCCTAATAGTCCAGTACCACAGAATTTGCAGCCACTCAGGGATGAAGAAAGAAGTTGCAGGTGACTTGCTGGACAAGAAAAAGATGTCATTTTCCACACTTTGTCTGAAAATTCAGAGACCTAGAAGGAGCTCCTCAAAAGACAGCATGACTGGCGGGGGCCTGACAGGGTGTGTGAGGCTCAGTGTGTGCTTTGCTTCCAGGAGAACAACATGATCGTGTATGTGGAGAAGAAAGTGCTGGAAGACCCCGCCATAGCGAGTGATGAAAACTTTGGACCAGTGAAGAAGAAGTTCTGCACTTTCCGAGAAGGTGTGTGTCTCAGCTTCGCCAGTTGGTTTGCCCTTGGTGCTCACGTACTTGAGTGCTGAGGGCTCCAGGCGATAGCATTGTCCTGGCTTTTGTCTGCTGCGTAGATTACGACGATATTTCCAACCAAATAGACTTCATCATATGCCTGGGAGGAGACGGGACCCTGCTGTACGCCTCCTCGCTTTTCCAGGTGAGCTGGCATTTGGGCATGGGTCTGTGGTGTGGGTGCAGGGTGAGGCACTTCCGAGTACAAGCCTCCCCTCCTGTCTTCGTCATGCAGCTTCCTACCACAGGGTCATGAGCGTCTCAGCGTTCTTGCTCTAATGAGGCCGAAGATGGTACTGGGGCTTGAACTTGGCCTTGTGCTTGCTAGGCAGGTGCTCTACCACTTAAGTCACTCTGCCAGCCCTTTTATTTGTGTTGGGTATTTTTGAGATAGGGTCTAACTATTTCCCTGGACTGGCCTCGAATTAGAATCCTCCTAATCTCTGCCTCCTGAGTAACTAGAATTAAATGTGTTTGAGCTATTAACGCCCAACCTGGAATTTTTTTTTTTTTTTTTGAGTTCACTTGGCAGCAACAGAGAAAGTTTGAAAATAATGTAAACAATGCACCTCCTCCTGTCTAGTGTTCAGATGCCATGACAAGCACATTCTGTCCATGCCACGGGCTTGTGAATGGAGCAGGCAGGATCCCAGTGGGCTGCTGGGTATGGCCAGCAGGAAGAGTGTGTGGGTGGAAGAGGGGCCTTGCTGGGGAAACTGTCCCTGTGGGGTGGCTGCAGGTCCACAGGCTCCTAGGACAGCTTCAGGGAGAGCTGGTGCTCAAGACTGGGCCAAGGCCCCAGACGGTCAAGGGCGGGGAGGTCCATGGCCATGGGAGCTGGCAGGGGACAGTGGGTGGTGAGCTAGCTCTTGGTGCTCATCCCCTGCAAGGTGGAGCCCAGCCGGTGCACTAGAGGGCCAGGCATGAAGGTCTGTGGAGAGCAGTCTGGAAGTGTGCAGGGCAGTCTGATAGGATGATACTCCACAGTATTAATGCTGGGGGTGACCAGTCCTGGCAGGATGTCCATAGCCTCTGTAGCAGAAATGGCTTTCCACTAGCAGACCACTCCTACTTTGGGAACCCTGGCTCTTCCTCAACTCCACCTTACATATAGGTGCTGTCCTCCTCCTTCCCCAAGGTCCTGCCAAGTCTCCCCACCTTTCAGTCTGCTGGGCACAATTGATTTCCACAGTCAGACCCTTGCGCCAATACTGGCCAATGCTTTCCCATTTTCGGTGACCAGTGAACTGGCCCATGTTACTGCTTTTGTCTTACTGGCTGGTCCCACTCCATTCCTCCTTCCTCAGGGATGCTCTGTGCTGGCCTGAGCATCACCCCAACCTCCCAGGCCTGTCACCTGGAGCACAGTTGTCCCACTTTCTTGGGATCCTGTACCTCTTGCTTGGTTCATGCTTGCCCCACCTGCCACTGACCCTGTGCTCACACACACAGGGCCCACCTGGGGAACAGGGGTACCAGCCTTCCAAGCAGGGCTGAGCTCCAGAGATCAGGGCCCCTCCCCAGGGTCTGGAGCTCCTGAGAGCTTGGTGGCTTCTTAGTGGACAGGCTGATGCCATGTGACCATCTCCTCACCCACAGGGCAGCGTGCCTCCGGTCATGGCGTTCCATCTGGGCTCCCTGGGCTTCCTGACCCCATTCAACTTTGAGAACTTCCAGTCCCAAGTTACTCAGGTGATAGAGGGTGAGTTGGAGTGTTCTGGAACCCACAAGCAGCTCTGACCATGGAATTTCCCGCCCTAAAAGTTTCAAGATTTGAGAATTTCTAAGTTTGGAATGTTTGAAACATTTTTACTAATACTGAGGAGATCAGACAGGCTGGAGCTGTCCTGTGTGTTCATCAGAAGTGAACTGGCTTTCATAAAAAAGCATGCAAGGCCACTCACTTTGAGGTTGGAAGGGGTGGGTCCCTGCTTCCTGGGGTGGGGCCAGACCTCACTGGGCTGGCCCTGCTGATCTCCGCTGCCCCCAGGGAATGCAGCTGTTGTTCTTCGGAGCCGGTTGAAGGTCAGGGTGGTGAAGGAGCTCAGAGGCAAGAAGATGACCGTCCACAATGGACTCAGTGAGAACGGCCTGCCAGCTCCAGGCCTGGACACAGAGGTCGGGAAGCAGGCCATGCAATACCAGGTCTATAGACATATCCCCAGTTGATGTGGCCTTGTCCTTCCTGTCCTGTGTTCTTAAAGAAGGGTCCAGGGTGGTGGGGAGCTTGGGGCTGGACCCCCATGGAGGAACCCCTGTCCTGTCCCCAGGACGAGAATCTTCTGGAAAACTCAGGTGAGCTACAGGTGCCTGGTGCCTTGACATGGTGCCACTGGCCCTGCCCTCACTCCCTCTTGAGTGTAATGGCCTCATCATCCCTCCAGGTCTTGAATGAGGTGGTGATCGACAGAGGCCCCTCCTCATACCTGTCCAATGTAGATGTCTACCTAGATGGACACCTCATCACCACAGTGCAGGGCGATGGTAAGGCCCGGGATGCACCTGGGGCTCTGAGACTCCCTTGTGGGGCCAGGAGTGACACCTGTACTCTGTCACCACCAGGAGTGATCGTGTCCACCCCAACGGGCAGCACAGCGTACGCGGCTGCAGCCGGAGCCTCCATGGTCCACCCCAATGTGCCGGCCATCATGGTCACGCCCATCTGTCCCCACTCGCTGTCATTCCGGCCCATTGTGGTCCCTGCTGGTGTTGAGCTGAAGGTCAGATCCAGTGCCCTCTGCCTTTTCTGCTCTGTGAATCTTTTGACCACTGGAATCCTAGCACTCACACCACCTCAGGCTGACCTCCCAGGACTGTCAGACGTGAAGGCTAGGAACCTGAGACCTGCCTAGTGGTAATGGCAGGCTCCTGGGGCAGAAAGGGCTTCACATTTGTCCATGGGACTTGGTACAGAGAGCTGGCCAGCCCTTCCTGCAAGGCTCTGAGCTGCAGGGGTGGAAAGGTCCACTGTGGGTACAGCCAGCGTAAGTGGCCCAGGTATCCCCCACCCAGGGCCTTCCCCTAGCTCCGGCTGGCCTCCTAATGCCTCAGCGCAAGCCTTCACCTAGCTTCCCACTGTAGGCTCCTGGCATGAGCTCAGGTGGCCACATCTGCAAGAGGTTCTTGAAGGCCAGAGCAGCTCAACACCAGGCTTCCAGGGTTGCTTAGGGTGCACTGGGGAGTGAACCCTCCCCGGCCAGGGTCTGTCCTCATCCCTGCTCAACCCCTTCAGATTATGCTGTCACCGGAAGCCAGGAACACTGCATGGGTGTCCTTTGACGGACGGAAGAGGCAGGAGATTCGCCATGGAGACAGGTGTGGGGCTTCAGGGCTGGGGCACTGGCTGACCTTGGCCTGTGATGAATGTGGTCACGTGGGTACAAAGGGCCTGCAGCAAGAGGCTGGCCCAGCTGAGGCCAGGGTGAGTCACCTCCAGCACAACTGTGGCAGCTGCCTGCACCCCACAGCACCTGGCACAAAGCCCCACAGACTGGGGCCAGGGGAGGTGGGTCATGTCTCTACCCTGACATCCACTAAACCCCACCTCAGGCTACCTCAAGGCCATTGGCACAGTGGGAACAGGAACAAAGTCTGTCATGTGCTTCTTTGAGGAGACCCTGGAAGGGTCTTGGCCTAGGGTGGAGAGGTGGGGTACTCTCAGGAAGTGCTGTGACTCACCTGTGCCTGTATTGCCTCTCTGCAGCATCAGCATCACCACCTCCTGCTACCCGCTGCCCTGCATCTGCGTCCGAGACCCTGTGAGCGACTGGTTCGAGAGTCTCGCCCAGTGTCTGCACTGGAATGTGCGGAAGAAGCAGGCTGACTTCACGGAGGAAGAGGAAGACGGCTAGACTGTGTTCCCGACTGCCTGTCTGAATGGCACAGCCATTCTGTCCCACCTGCCTGGTTGGGAAAGAGCCTGTGTCTGCCTTTTGCCGACAAGATCAGCTTTTTAATGTTTTTAAATCTGATTCTTTTTTCATTTCTAAAGTCTAAAGAAGCAAAGTGAGAATGGGGCTCGGCCTCCTGTGTCCCCCCCACAGCAGCCCCTTGTGATTCCAGGTCAGAAACTGTCCATAAATCACTCTGTTGAAATTCTGAGGAGTCAGAATGAATTGATCTGCCCTTTGATATTGAAATAAATGTCTCAGCCAAAAGTCTTCCTATAGCTGCGATGCTTTTCCCCTAAAATTCTCGGGGGCCCCTAGCGGCCTTGCTGTGGGTCGACAAGGCAGAATTGCTTTGCTTCAGTGTCTGGGTGCCCCAGGCCCAGCTCTTCCAGAGCAGGCAGAGAGCCCCAGCTAGCCACCAACCCCACATTCCTCACATAGCAGGGCAGGTGTGGCTCCCGGGAATATGTTTTAAGTCCTGTTTGTACTTTTTAGAAATTCTTTTACATTTTCTGAAGTGCTTCTGTACTTATTTTCTTGTACACACTTTTGTGAAGGTGAAGATGGAGGACCTGTCCTGTGGTCCAGTGTTTACAGTGTGTCCAGTTGAGTGCAGAGGGTCCAGGAGGGGTTCTGTACTTCCAGGTTGTAAGCCTTTCTGTGGTGATAAGGATTCAAGGCAGACTTCCTAGTGGACGGCCAGGCCAAGGGTCATTGCTCTTGCTTCCCTGTGAGTCTTGGGTTTGCAGCAAAACAGTGGCCACATGGACCTGGTGTGTCAGCCCTGCAAGTGTGCATGTAACACGTGAGTGTGTAGGCTGCATATGTGTGCCACACGGGCCCTGAAGCCTGTGGGGAGCCCATGGTTTTCGTGACTTGCCTCAGTCCTGTGTAAGGCGGCTCCCTGGTTAGCTTTGGCATGATGTTTCAGAGTCGGTCATCTGCTTTGAGTTTTGATGTCACCTGTAAAATGGCAAGAGGGCATTCTTAGCCTGTCTTCCGGAGGGAAACCAGGCATGAGTTTGCTGCAGCAGTGCTGACCGGGTTCTGAGCACTTTCTCCTTGGTGTTTACAAGGTACAAGTCCCACCATCTTTTTCTGGCCTTCCTCTGATCCTCATCTACACCTCACACCTGTGAACCCTGTTCTGGGCAGCGGGCCTGACTTCAGGACCACCAAGTTGGGCGGGGAGGTGGCTCATCCCTGGGGTATACCCCGTCTGCCCTTCCCCACACAGGAGGCACCCTGCTCTAGAGCCCAAGACGTGGAACTTGGGTCCCTTGTCTAGACATAGAGTAAGTGCTGGACCAGGTCCAGAGCAGCACTGTGGACTGATGTAGAGCACTGGGATTTTTGAAGTAAATTCTTAAATGTTTCATATTGTTAATATCTTAAAAATTTGTTAATTATTGATGAAAGCCTTATAACTATTTTCAGATCCTTTCAATAAACAGACTTGTTTAAAAAAAAAAAAAAAAAAACTTGGGTTCAGTAACCTCTTTCTTGCAGCCCTTTATAACCAGGACTTGGGAACATTGGGCACATCCAACCCCCACCCCACCCCCAACCTTAATGGGGGCCATTGCGGCCCTGCTAGCCCTGTCTTCCCCATGCTAAATTCTGTCCCCACATCCTCACTGGCCAGGTGGGAGCCAGGGTGCAGCTGCCTCTGCAGGAAGGAGATGGAGGCAGCAGAGCCCCATCCGTGATAGAATGAACACTAAAGGATGGAGGGGACCACAGCCACGCTCCCCCAGGGGTGCTGTCAGTTCCTGTGGGCAAAGGGCAGAGACCCACGCAAAACGAATTCCAGTTGGGCCGCAAGGGTCTGAGGGAGCCCGGTTCTGGCCCCACCAGTCAAGCTTCACCTACCTCAGACTGCCCCAAGGCTGTTTGGGAGAGGGGTGGCTGCTGACCTCAGCAGCCAGGCCCTATGCACTGTGGGTGCTGTGTAGGTGCTCCAGTTTCCTGCATAGGAGCCACCACCCCACCCCACACACTCCCACCCTGTGCGTTGTGTATGTACGAGTTGAAGAAGCTGAACTGACCACCTATCGGGCACCTCCTCAGCAGCCCAGACCCCTAGCACAGCCCTTGGGACAAACACAAGCAAGGTTTGAGCACTGCACACCTGCTTGCTGGAGTGTGTTGACCCGTGCTGTGGTGGGAGTGGGGAGGGGGCGGGGCTTCCTGGTGGCCCTGGGCCAGCAGTGAGAACTCACTCTGTGGACACTGGACCCGGAGGGGAAGCCATGCCTTTTAGCACCTCTGGGCCTGAGGTCACTCAGGACCAGTTGCATGTGACCTGGGGGGACCTAGGCCAGCTCCTCTCTGTCCAGGGCCTGTAGCCCTCTGGTGGCCCAAGGGCCACTGTGAGACTGGGATCTAGAGACAGGAATCAAGGATCTCATTCTTGGTAAAGGCTACTGACCTGGATCCTTAACTTCCTGGCCTGGCCACCTGGCCAAGGCCCCTCCTGGCCTCTGAGCACCTGCCCCACAAGGCAGCAACCCCTGCAGGTCTGGACCAGGTCTTAGCTGCAGGGAAGGCTGGGCTGAGGGCAGCAGTGCAGGACAGGAAGGGGCGCCAGTAGGAGGGGCCAGAAGATGGGCAAGTTGTTGGGGTCATGGAGACAGAGCTTGGGTGGCCTTCAGAATCTGCACAGAATTTCTACCTAGTGGGTAGCCTGAGGCTACAGGAGTGGGGCAGCACTTCGAGGCTGGTGCTGTTCCCAGGGATCCAGAATGTAAACCCAGAGCAGTGAGAGCCCACCAGGACTGGCGGCCCCATGCTGCACACTTCTGAGAAAAACGAAGCCTGAGGACGTGGGCTCCAGGGTACCACCCTGGCCACCCGTCCATTTCCCACCAGGAGCTCCTGAGAATAGGATCCAGGCCCAGTCGGTCTGTGCAGAGCCGAGCAGAGGGGACATGTTGTAGTCTTACGAAGTCTCCAAAAAATTCCCACATTCTTTCTGCTCCACACGGGAGCATCCAGGCAGGACACACGGGTGTAGTGAAGGAGGTGACAGAGTTTATTGAAAGTTTCGGGAAAAGTTCAAACAGCCATGATGGCCCAGGTATGAGGCAGAAGCAGAGAGGGAGAGGAACAAGAAAAAAATAATAAAATAAAGCCCTCTTCCCCTTTCCAGGCGCCTTTAAAACCTGCTGCTAACCTATGGGAGGGGAAAACCGGTGATTCCTGCCCAAAAGAGAGGAGGGAGGGGTCTGAGTGGCTCCTGGGCCCGGGTGTGGCAGCTCGAGTCACCCCCACCCCATGAATAATCTGCACATATTTGAAAACAAGGCTGAACGTGAAGAATGCTCAACCTGAAACACAAATTTTATTTTTTCCCAGTACTGGGGTTTGAACTCAGGGCCTACACCTTGGGCCACTCCACCAGCCCTTTTTTGTGAAGGGTGTTTTTGAGGTAGTCTTGGGAACTATTTCCCTGGGCTGGCTTCAGACTGTAATCTTCCTTATCTCTGCCTCCTGAGTAGCTGGGATTACAGGTGTGAGCCACAGTGCCCAGCCTGAAATACAATATTAACTCATATTTTTTTAATTATTATTGTTGTACTGGGGGTACCAAGTACATTTACCAACGTTACACAGACATCGTAGTTGAATTCTCATCCTCTCCGTCATTCTTTGTCTGCCCTGCCCCGCAAAGTCATATGTTTTAAGAGTTCTGAACTTCTCCTGTTTTAGCCTGCCTCAGACACACCACAAACTCCCAGAGACACAAAGACACAAACCCACCCCAGAGCCAGACACCTATGAGACAGAGAGACCCCTGGAAACCTCCATTATGACCTCCCTGTGACCTTAAAGATCGAAAAGAAGAAAAAACAGAGCCAGCAGTCTTGGCAATGTCAGCACCTGCCCTGCCACCCTCGGAACAAGACCTGGCTCTTCGGGGGCCCCTGTCCCAGCTGTCCTGCTATCCTCACTGTCCCTCTCTAAAACTTCGGCTCCTCTGGGCCCCTTGGAGCCCAGACTGAGACCGAACCTGGTGACGGGACAGGACCAGGAGCTGAGTATGGGGACAGAACCTTGACCCTGAGTAGGCTGTGGGGGCCACCTGTCCCGTGGAGCCTGGTTTGAGGGCAGCAGGCACCAGCACGATGTGAAGGGGGCGGGCCTGGGGGCAGCTCCGGCACCCAGGGCGGTGGCCTGAGTACGAATTTTCTGATTCCATGTGCATTGTCCGAGCACACAGCCTTTGCGAAAGTCATGAACTCTGAGCACCAAGTGCAAGAAAGTACAATCCTACAAACTGGCTTGTTTTCCTCTCTTTTCTTTTTGAGTCAAACTTCGGGAAGAGGAGATAGAGGTTGAACACAGAGAGCTATGCAATCCCACTATGACTTTTTTTTCTTTTTCTTTTTCTTTTTTTTTGCAGTCCTGGGGTTTGAACTCAGGGCTTCACACTTGTTAGGCAGGCGCTCTGCCATTCACCACTGATCTTCGTGGTATGGAAAACGTTCATAGAATCTGTTACTGGAAAAATAGCTCTGGTGAATATCGTGCATCCAGCAGCAGAACTCAGGCAAAAGTAGTTTGTTAAGAAAGGAGCGTTCTTTCGACAGAGACTGCAAGCGGGTTGCCTCAAGGGAAAGAATGACAGGTCAGCTTTTAACCTTGGAATATTTACTGAGAAACTCTTACCTTTGGGTCCTTTTGGCCCGTGGGATGACTTCCTGGGTTTGGGTCACTGTCTTGTTAAGTAAGAGACATACTGACTAATCTTCTAGTTAGAGATGTTCCTGTTTGAAATTCCTAACCTTTGCTCTGTTAGTCTGAGTCTCTATTTTGTTAAATTTACCTAAGTAAACTCCCAGTGCCAGGTCTAGCTGATGTTTGGTGTGCGGATTAATTTCTCTTGGGTAGAGTGAATTAAACTTCAAATCATCCTGTGATAACCCTGGGTTCTGGCTACCTGATTTTTTTTTTTAGGCACTGGGATTTGAACTCAGGGCCCTGGGCTTGCAAGGTAGACCTCTACCATTTGAGTCACTCCAACAGCCCTTTTTTTGTGAAGGTTTTTTTGAGATAGGGTTTCAAGGACTATTTTCCCGGGCTGGCTTCAATCCTCCTCATTTCTACCTCCTGAGCAGCTGGGATTACAGGCGTGAGCCACCGGGGCACCTGGTTACAATGATTTTTTCCTTTCTTCTTCATGTGGCCACCACTTAAAAAAAATGTGTAACTACTACCTACACAATCCACACAAAACACTACCAGAAAAATTGTCAAATGACAGAAACTGATTGTTCAAGGGAAGAATATAAATAGCCGATAAGTGATAAATGAGTTGGTTGCTAGTGGCTCACACCTGTAGTTCTAGCTACTCAGGAGGCAGAGATCAGGAGGATCCTGGTTCAAAGCCAGCCCAAGCAGTTTGTGAGATTCTATCTTGAAAATAACCAACACAAAACAGGGTTGGTGGAGTAGCTCAAGTGGTAGAGCGCCTGCCCAGCAAGCATGAAGTCCTGAGTTCAAACCCCAGTACCACAAAAAAAAAAAAAAAGACTCCCACTCTGGTCAAATTAGCAGAGGCTTAAAGTCAATTAATCCTTCAACTGAGAAGAGAGGACCCTGGCCAGACAATTCTCTTTCACCACCAAACTCCACTTGGAATCCTGACAAAGGTCAAAGACTGAAGACTAAACTCCCAACAAATCAGATAAGCACACATGGTGGTTGCCTAGCAAGTGTGAGGTCCTGAGTTCAAACCCCAGTGCCGCCAAAAAAAAAAAAAAACCAACCTCATTTCAGAGAAACACACAGACCAGTTGTCATGGTATCCCTCAGTGGGGAAGTGACTCATGGTGCCTCCCCGAGTAGCCACTGGAAAAGTGTCAACCTGCAGGAGGTGCTATCACCTGTGCTGTGGGCAGCACTGACAGGGACCAGAGAGAAGCCCAGGTAGACATAAATGATGACCACAGGAGGAAGAAATCACAAGGTCTCAGACAGAAAACATTGCAATTAAATCTCCCTAGTCCACCAAGGTCATGGGATTGTCACAAGATGGTTTTGGGTCCCTCACCCACCTAAAGGTTAATGAAAGGCTTTATTTAAACACAACAGATCTTCAACTTAACAAAAGGCTCAGGCCCTAAAACAGACTGTAGAAGTCAGGTGGACTCCATAATCCTTTATACCTCGTAAAGCTGTAAACCTCTCCTGGCCTCAGTTACCCCGTGGCTTACTGGTAACCTCAGCTGGACCTGAGGCAGGTCCACACAGGGAGAGACTGGGACTCTTATGATTTATTTTTATTTTTATTTTATTTTATTTGGGGGGGGGTACACTGGTTTTAAAAGCACCTGGATACAGGAAGAGCTCGCTCTCTTCCTCTCTGCCTCATACCTGGCCCATCATGGTCTTTTGTAACCTTTTTCCCTAATGGTTGAAAGACTTTTCACCCTTGCTAACTCTACACCTCCTGCCT